CCAACACTTGGCCCTATGCTTGGCCAGTGTACACATAGGGGTGCATGTTTGTGTGTGTGTGTGTGTGTGTGTGTGTGTTGTGTCTTGTGTCTCCAATGGCTGCTTTCCTGAATCTTTTAAGGACACAAATTCAGTTTAGAATGGACACAGGAATTCCAGAGAGAGCGGAGCAACTGATCAACAAGTCTTGGAATGGAGATGGGCCCACAAGGGAATTGCTTGGGCTCTACAGCAGGGAGTCCAAGGATAAAGGCTTAGGGAGGGTTGCCCAGGCAATTGCCCTCATTACTTAAGAACCAACCCCCAGACTTCAAAGCGCGCTCTCCAGCCTCCTCGGTGAGCCTCTCCATCACCTGGATTATTGAGGCTCTGCTTCCCTACTGGAGTCCACACTTGCAAACTGCCTAAGCTCCAGTCAACAGCTGCATATCCTGTTTCTTCCCTGCACTGGGCTCAAGTTAATTCACTGCTTTGTTTTGCTGTTTGAGCAGGAGTTGGGGGGTGATCTCATGTAGCCCAATACTGGGTGACAAACTGTCCTCCTGCCTCCATTTCTCAAGGAGTTGATGTCACCCAGGCAGTTAACTCACTTTTGCTTCAGAAATTAATCCTGATGTCTTGTTTTACCCTTTTCCATTCTCATTCCTATAGCCTTTCCCCCATGCCACCCCCAGTTTTGGATGGATTCTAGAAGTATTGGTAGGCAAAACTGTTTTCATTTTTTAAATTGTTAGTTGTTTTAATTGTGTTTAACCTTTTAGGTCTACCGTTGTTTAGCACGATGATTTATAAGTGAAAATGGAGGGTCCTTAAAACTCTGCATGAAAGGTTCAATAGTAGGGTGCTTCCTAGCTTGTGTGAGGTCCTGGGTTCTATACCCAACACCATCAAAAAGAGAGGCCTTGGAATTAATCACAAATAGAATAGCACATTATGTCATCAAAGACCAATCCCTAGCTTGTGTTTTCATCTATTACTGTTATGATAATATACAATGGTCTCCAGGCTAGACAGGAGCTAAACAGATAAAGTAAATGTATAAAGAAGATTGGGAGTGTGTGACCAGATAGTTCAGCAGGTGAAGGTGCTCGCCACCAAGACCTGAGTTCGATCCCCAGGCCCCACATGGTAGGTAGAAGAACCAACACCTACAAGATTCTTCTGACCTCCACAGGAGAGTCGTGGCATTCTCTCAATAACTAACTGACTGAATAAACAAACTAATAAATAAATAAATAAATAAATAAATAAATAAATAAATAAATAAATAAATAGCCATCAATGGCTGTAGCATACCTAAACTCAAGGCAGCTGTGGTTGCCTGTACAAGACCAAGCCAACCAAAATTCCACCATGGGAAGAGGGGTTGTGTTGAGCACCCATCCATAGGGAAGTAGCTGTTGGCAATTGATTCGTTGATTAACTGTTGAGGGATGGAGAGCCATTTTCCTTTGGAGTTGTGACTATTGGTGGGTTGCCCATGCCCAAATGAATGGTCCCATACCCATTCATGTATGGTTAGCATTTATTGAACACAGGTGGTTATTATAAAAATGAAAAGAAGACGTAAATTTGGAGGGAGATGGTTAGAGGGTCCTGGGGATGGACATGAACAAAATACATTGTATCCCTATATGAATATTTAAAATAATAAAACATTGTTTAATAGATGTAAAAATGTTTAACTGTTGCCTGAGACTCTTGGAACATTGCAGGGAGTTGTAGGGGTAGGGATTGGTAAAGTACTCTGTGAATTTGTCTATAAGAGTACAGTAAGTAATTCACATCTGCAGCTTCATGCTTCTCCAGAGGAATGTGTGTTTGTAGTTTCTAATCTTTACCTTCTTCCTAGAGAGACTAAAAATAAGCATTTTATGAGAAATGTTCTACTTTTTTGTTTGTTTATGACCATAGTCATGTAGCCCAGACTGACCTACAATTCACAATGTGGCCCAGGTTGGCTTTAAATTCCTAGTGCTTCTACCTCCAAAGCATAGAGGCTACAGGCCTATACCACCAAGCCTCCCTCCCCCAGTACTGGGGATTAAACCCAGAGCCTTAGGAATGCTAAGCGAGCTCACTACCCTCTATGGAGCTGCATCCTCAGCTCTCCACTTTGTAAATGTTGGCATCTAATTCACAAACACTGTAAAACAATGTGCAAGTGAAACAACTTGTTTGTGAAGCTGCTTTTCTGTCTTCTGGCATAGGAATTCTGATGAGTCAAAATAAGGTGTACTTCCTCTGAGTAGAAAGAATTACCTAAGTGAAGAAAAAAAGGACTCAAATATTGAGTGTGCCTTAATAAAAGTCGAGATCTGTTTTCCCTGTTCAACTCTGAGACTCCTGAACATATGAGAAATTAAATTCCAGATGGTTTGGAGGGATGCAAATGCAGAATCCAGGGCTGGGAACATAGCTCAGTAGTAATGTCCTGTACGATGTCTAGACAGTGGGTTTGATTCTCAGTACTTGTGGGAGGGATGAGGGAAGCAGAATAGTGTTTTCCCTTTTTTTTAGATACAGTCAAGCCAAGTGAGATATCTACAGAAGTTTGTGTCAGCGTGATGTAGGAGTTTCATGGATTTCGGCAGATCGGACTGAGATTGTCTTAGTCAGGGGCAGGACTATGTATGCCACTGTGTCTGAATGTATCTTATTGAGACAACACAGAGTGACAAAATCAATTCTAGAGGCCAAGAGGATCACAGAAGTGGAACGATATTCAGTTAAGTGTCTTTCAGATGAGAATGGTCACATGTACGTATTTGTGAGGTTCACAAAAGAAAAGATTGTAGTTTCCACTGTAAAAATGAGTTGTATTTCTTGAGCACTTGGGTTTATGAAACAAAAAACTATAAAAGCTCACTACTCTTGTTGTAAACTCAGTCATAGCCACGGTTTGACATAAAGTATTGCCTTTATTTTTTTCTGATCAGTTCCCACTGCAACTTCCACTTTTTGTCTTATCACAGTTAACTGTCCATCCTGGGTTTTTGTTGTTGTTATTGCTGTTGTTTGCTTTGCAGTGCTGGGGATGGAATCCAGTACCTTACACAGGCTGGGCAAGAACTCTACCTACCACTGAGCTAGACTCCCAGCCCCAAACTCCACATTTTCATATCTATGAAAGTATGTTTTTCAGAAACTCAATTGTTTTGATTTCTGAAGTATATTTTTTGGAAGCACAGGGACAATTTTATTAGAGAGAAAACAAACAAACAAACCAAAAAACCTCAGGGCAGGGAAGCTGGTGCCTGGAGAATGGAGGGGACAAGGGAGTGAGTTGGGGAACCCTGTTATTAAAGCTGTCTATGGAGATCAGACAAAAGGTGGACAAACAGGAGGATGGGGGCATGAACACCTGACAAAACACTGTTAAGAAAAGCAGGCTTGCCGGGCAGTGGTGGTGCACACCTTTAATCCCACCACTCGGGAGGCAGAGCCAGGCGGATCTCTGTGAGTTTGAAGCCAGCCTGGTCTACAGAGCGAGATCCAGGACAGGCACCAAAACTACACAGAGAAACCCTGTCTCAGAAAAACCGAAAAAGAAAAAAGAAAAAAAAAGAAAAGCAAGCTTTAGAAAGAGAGACAAGTAAAGGAAAAGTCACACTTAAAGTGTGTAGACTTGTGACCCTACCTAGCATCAGTTCATTAGACTGCCTTCTGAAGAGTATTTTTGATTGATGTTACAGAAGCTTCAAACTATACTTAATTATAATGGTTATATTTTCTTTTATATGTAAAGATATGTAAATCCAAACTGTATTATCAATTTCTGCAATTCCATAATATGCTGTTAAAGGTTTTTGTTAAGGGGCTGAAGAGATGACTTGGCAGTTAAGACTACTTGCTCCTCTTGTAGAAGGAGTTCCTGTCACACTGTAACGGCACCTCCAGGGCCTCTAAAGGCACCTGCACTCTGTGCACCATCTCCATATGTATAATTCAAATTTTAAGAAACATAAAACAATAGAGCTGGGGAGATGGCTCAGCAGTTAGGAGCACTGGCTGCTCTTCTAGAGGATCCAGGTTCAATTCCCAGCATCCACATGGCAGCTCACAACTGTCTGTAACTCTAGCCCTAGCGGATTGAAAATTCTCTTCTGGCTTCCATGGACACTTCATGCATGTGGTGCAGATATACACACAGGTAAAACACCCCATATCTATATATAAAATAAATAAATAAATTTAAATCATATAAAATAAGTAAAACATTTTTGATGCTCCTTTCTCAAAATGACTCTTACATATTATACATATTTTCTGGTTTATAATTGTAGATACACTGTATGAAAGCTTGTAAGAGGTGTCTTTTTGCAATTTCTAGTTCTTGCTGGCCTTGGTGGTATGTACCTTCAAACCCAGCACTTAGGAGGCAGAGGCAGGAGGACCACTGAGTTTAAGGACAACCTGGTCTATGTGGTGAGTTCCAGGACAGGCAGAGTCACATGAAAAGACCCTGTCTCAAAAAAACCAAAAAGAAAAAATAAAATTTTTTGTTCCTATTATTAGTATTATTTAATTTCCTATTATTAGCATTGTATGTATGTGTGCATGTGTGTGTGTGACTGTATGTGTATATGCCTGTGTGCCTTGTGTGTGTAAGAAGACAACTTTGTGGAATTGGCTCTTTACTTTCCTCTTTATGTAGGTTTCAGGAACCACACTCAGGTGGCCAAGCTTGCACCATCAGGTGGCAAGCACCTTTACCTGCTGGGCCATTTCACTGGCCCAAGATGTCTTCGAATATTTTTTAAAAGCTAGCAAGATCAGAACCGGGTGTAGTCGCTCACACCTATAATCTCAGCACTTGGGAAGTTAAGGTAGAAGGAGAGATGTATGTTTGGGGGCCAAACCTGGGGTACAGAGTGAGCTCTTGATTAAAAACACCAAAAAAGCCCTTTAGAATAAAACCAAACAACCAAAAAGCTAACAAAGATCAATTATCCAAAGCTATCAGTATAATACAATTAAATTGAAAAGCTTGTCAAACTTAGAGTTTCAGAAACAGTTTTATTTGCTCTAATGGTCTCTGAGGAAATGCTCCTTCATCAAGATGTTCTTGCCCCCACCTCCAAGAAAGTACAGTTTCTCTTCTTGTCTTTTAGTTGGCTTTCTTCTGCTTCATGGCTGTTTGCCTTTATCTGACACACATACATATTATTTGTTTGTAAATTCAAAGGCAATGTTCTAAGCTTATTCTGATGTTTTCACTATCAATTCCTAATGAAATGTGCCAAAACGAACATGTTCAAAGAGTCCACCAGTTGTCTCCCATTCAAAATGCCTGCCCTCTATGGATTTCAACGCGACAACCAAACAGCACATTGATGATGTTTTTGATGGTTTTTCCCCCCCAAGTCTTTTCCTGTCTTAAGATGGTAATTATGGCGACTTAGGAGTAGCTTCTATCACCCTTTTGATTAGTAAGGAAATTTTACAAACAGCATAGCTAAAGAGTAAAGAAGAGGGGCTTAAAAGTACTAAGTACTAAGCGGTAGCCTCAATGGGGCATTCCCTGGCTAGATGTCCAGCTTCGCCACAGCGGTAGCAGCTGACTTCGCTCGCCTTGCTGCAGTTCACTGCCATGTGGCCATTCTCACCACATCTGTAGCACTTAATTTGGGTGCAGTCTTTCTGGATGTGCCCAAATTCGCCGCACGTGTAGCATTTCTGCTCTTCCTGCCGGCCGCAATCACGAGCCAGATGACCAGGTCTACTGCAGATGTAACAGCACTGCTCCCTCTCTCGTTTAGGCTGGGTACAGTCTTTAGCGATGTGGCCTCTTTTCCCGCAGTTGTAGCAGGCGTCCTGGAGATCACAGTCCTTGGCATAATGACCAGTTTCACCACAGCGATAACAGATGTCAGACTGGCTGGCGGAGCTGCATTGAGGACCTCTGCCACGACTTCTTGGTGTTCGCCCTCGAGTTCCTCCTTTAGGACACTCCCGGGCCCAGTGGCCAGAGCGTCCACACTTGAAGCAACTTTTACTGCTCATGGGTACGGTGAGATCTTCCAGTGAGCAGGCCCACACACCGCTGCCACGGATCCCCGAGGCTACCCCACTAGGGTGGCTTAGATACAAATGGCGCTTTTTCCTAGCTGGCTTCTGTGACGTTGCGTGAGCTTTGCACACGGCCTCAGTGGCCTGGCGTCACAGGTTTTTTGATATGCGCGTGTGCATTTAGTTTGGTTTAGTTTTAGTTTTCCCAGACATCTTGACATCATGTCACCACCTATTCCAGCTTGGTCTTGAACTCAAGATCCTTTTGCCTAGGCCTCATGAGCGCTGGGACTATAGATATGCACCACTCACTACACGAGTCTAAATATTTTTCGTTGGTTTTCAACACTTAAGTTATTAAAGTTGACTTTGAATCCCTTTATGTTCAGGAATTCTGACCTGTAGCATATTTCATAATTTAGTTATTCTCCCTAAATGTGGTGGCACAACCCTATAATTCCAGGCTCAGAAGGCCTGCACAACATTGTGAGTTCTACACCAACCTTGGGTACACAACAAGAAAATTTATTTACTTACTAGATCACAAAGAAAGCCCTTTCCATAGTTTCTATGTAATTTTAATTAATTAATTATTATGAGGCAGTGTCTTGCTGTGTAGTCATGGATTACCTGGAACTCACTATTTACGACAAACTGGCCTCAAACTTTCAGGAACTCTCTTGCCTTAGCCTCCTGAGTGCCGGGTTTACTGGTGTACACCATATCCAGCTTTGATAACTAGTGTTTGTTTTTAAATAAAATATGTTTATAAAAATAATGTGTCTACACTAGTGGAAGCCCATGAACTGTGGACTGGTGGCTGTGCAGCCCCCATGGGACTGGACTAGGTCCTCTGGATATGGAAGATGGTTGTTTGACTCGAACTGTTTGGGGGGGCACCCAGGCAGGGGGATCGGGATCTGTCCCTGGTGCATGGACAGGCTTCTGGAAATCTGGTGCCTGTGGTGTGACACCTTGCACAGCCTTGGTGCGGTGGGAAGGGGCTTGGACCTGCCTAGGCTCAGTGTGCCGGGCTTTGCTGACTCCCCATGGGAGAACTCGATTTGGGGGATGTGGGGTTGTGGAGTGGCTTGGGAAAGAGGGCTGAGGGGTGGGAGGAGGGAGGAGGGGGATTTGTGGATGGTATGTGGAGTGAGTAGAAAATTTCTTAATAAAGAAAAATGAAAAAAACAAATAATAGGTCCACAAGGGCTGATGATATAGCTCAGTGATACAGTACCTGCCTAGCATGCACAGAGCTTACATTCCATCTCCAGTAAACAACAAATCAGATAGATATGTATTTTTATTTACTTATTTATTTTTATTTTTATTTATTTATTTATTTATTTTGGTTTTCCGAGACAGAGTTTCTCTGTGAAACAGCCTTGGCTGTCCTGGAACTCACTCTGTAGACCAGGCTGGCCTCAAACTCACAGAGATCCACCTGCCTCTGCCTCCTGAGTGAGTGCTGGGATTAAAGTCATGTACCACCACCACCAGACTTTGGTTTTGTTTTTCAAGACAGGGTTTCTCTGTGTAGCCCTGGCTGTCCTGAAACTAACTCTGTACACCAGGCTGGCCTTGAACTCACAGAGATCTTCCTGCCTCTGCCTCCGGAGAGCTGGGATTAAAAATCTACAGTGAAATTTGCTCACAGTTTAACACATTTTATTACTGCAAACTTAACTTTCCATGTTTGTGGCAATGGGGGGGGGGGGGTTCAAGTAGCCCAGCTTGCCTTGAAGTAACTCAGGATGAACTTCTGATCCACCTGCCTCTACCTCCAAAGTACTAGGATTACACAAATGGCCTGCCATTCCTGACTTGTAATCTTCACTTTTAACATAAATGCATTATTTACGTTATTAAAGAACAAAAATGAAGCATTCAATATAAAAACAATGTTTTTGCTTGGAAAATAAATGCAATTAAAATGAGTTGGCTATACAGCTGACCTGTATAGTACTTGCTTAGGCTGTGGGTCTGATCCCAATCAAAACAAAATGTTTATAAATACATTCAAACATGGAAATTATTTGGGGTTTTTTTGGTTTTGTTTTTGTTTTTTTTTTAAGGATCTCATGTAGCTGGAGATGGCCTTCAACTTTATCCTCCTGGCGCTGCCTCTCAGTGCTGGGATTATAGGCATGTGATACCACACTTACCTTTACTTTTAACGTGGGTGTGTGATGCTGGAGCTCTAACTCTGGCTCTTATACACATTAGGAAAGCACTCTACAACTGGGCTATATCCAGCCCTTGCGGTCTCTCTTTTCTTTATTTTAATGGAGTTTTACTAGATTGTGTGGCTAGGGCTAGTTTCAAATGATCTTTCTGCCCCAGACTACAAGTACATGCCACTCTACCCTCTTGGTCTTCTTTATTTTATGTCTGTATAGATATATGGATATATGCATGTATGTGTAAGAAATAATATCTGACGGTTCATTTTCAAAATAACACTCGAAGTCAGTCAGTTTAGGTCACAAACTAGAGAGAAAGAGGAAACACTAGACCCCTAGGGGTTGGAGCCTGCTAAATCAGCTACCCTCCCCCGATTTCTGCTGGTCTAGCACCCCGTCCCCAACTAAGTGATTAGAATGGAAATTACTAACAGCCAAGCTTGCCTGCAAGGCCTCACAACTGATAAAGTTTAAAATAACTAGGGTGTAAAGCAGAGATGAACCTATTCATGTTTTTTGTTGAGAAAAAGACAAATGTAAGCATCGGGCACTGGTCGCCCAGCCTTTAATCCCAGCATTACAGATGTGTGCCACAATACAGGTTTAAATAGTGTTGAATCTGAAGCCAGGGCTTTTTCCAGGCTAGGCAAATATTCTACCAACTGAGATACGTCCTCAACCCTAAAATACAATTCTTGATACCCCTTATAATTAAAAATCTCAGAGAAATTAAATTATAAGAAAGAAACATCTTGGAACTTTAGAGATGATTTTTAACATTTCTAATTGTGTTAACAATTTGTCGGATGTAAAAATATGTTGTTTCAGGGCTAGAGAGTTGGCTCAGCGGTTAAGAGCATTGACTGCTCTTCAAGAAGACCCAGGTTCAATTCCCAGCATCCACATGTCAGATCACATTTGTCTGTAACTCCAATTCCAGGGCTTCTGACACCCTTGCACAGACATACATGCAGGCAAAACACCAATGAACATTAAATAAAAATAAATTAAAAAATTGTTTATCCTAATGGTAATCTAGAAGAATGTTCTTAAATGTAATCTTCAGACAGAACTAAGCTAGTTTTACAGAAAAGTATTAGGTCGAGCTTTGTAACTACAATCTGTTTTAATTCTGTATGAGTACAACTTTTGTTCTGAGATGCTATCTAACACTTTCACAGTGGACTCCAGGTACACTTAGCTTAAAGGCCTCTTCTATTGCTTAAATTTGGCAAAAAAAAAAAAAAAAAAAAAAAAAAAAAAAGAGAGAGAGATTTTTCATCACAGTCTTCTCCCCCTCAGAGAAAAAGTTCTTTCAGAAATGAGGGAGGGAATTGTGAAAGTTGGAATGTCTTACTGAAAAGGAGTGACTAGAGCTAAAAACATCGAGGTTCTTATGCATGTTACGTATCTGTCCACTAGGTGACGCAATATATTTTATGGCCCTGCCTTCTACTTCCATTCCGCTCATGCTATTTGTTTCAGGTATCAGCATGCAACTGTTTTTCTTCTCCTCCTCCTCCTCCTCTCTCATTTTTGCTTGTATGCTTCTGGTGCTCTCCGTGAAAATGCACACTGTAATGAAGTGCTGGATAGACAGGCGCCGGTCAGATTACACTTTTTCTAGTCTCTCAAGATCTAGGAATGAATAAGAAAAGGGGGTGTGTGTTAAAGAGACCCTTAAAAACTAAGACTCCCCACAAGAAGCAGCATGCTGGGAGTGAAAAGAGCCTGCCCCCAAAGCCCTGGTTCCAGGTATCAGGAAAAGATTTACCCCAGTTTCTGCAACTTGGACCCACATCTAAATCTATATACATCTATTTCCCCTTTTTTGGAGGGGTGGGGGCTTTTGTTTGGTTGGTTTTTTTCTCTCCAGGAACTTTTGTGGCACAGACTGGCCTAGAATCTACTATGTAGGTGAGGTTGAACTCTTCACCTTCCTACCTACTTCTCTTAAATGCTGGAATTACAGGCACTCATCATGGTCAGTTTTTTGTTTGTTTGTTTGTTTTTGTTTGTTTTGTTTTTTTCCAAAACAGTTAGAATATTCGGCACAACAGGAAATACTCAGGGATTCTGCAGAGCTCCAGAGTCGCAGAGAAGGCCACGAAATGGAGGCTAAGTCAGGAAGGGAATAATAAGTTGTGAGACTTGACAACGGAATGGTAAATTAGGAACGATGGGGGAGATATTGACGACAGAAGAACGAGCTGCGGAAGGGATGGGTGGTAGGCGCCACTGCGAGCAGAGAGGTGGGAGAAGCAGGGTGGGCTAGGGACCTGGGTCCGGGCAAGCAGTGAAGGCTGGGGGGGGGGGGGGTTGTTGTAGGTTGTGAAGGGGCGTTCTGAGGCAAGGGGCAGGGGGTGGGGGTGGAGCGGAGCGCATGCGTCAGAGCGCACTGCAGCGCTCCTTGGAGAGGCTGTGGGCTTTCGGCATCGGCGCCGAGGCTGCCAGGGCAGCAGGTTTCCTACCTGGTGTCCATTGCCGTTAATTCAAGACGGCTGCCACCCAGGCACGTCTCTGGGTCCCGCCGCTCCCTCCACACTCTCGGCACGGCTAGCAGTAAGAATTTTTGCCACGACACTCGCTTCAGCAAGAGGTAAAGGGACGACGAAGGGCAAAAATATAACATGGAGGGCGGCAGAGGGAACGTGGGTCAGGAAAATCCTTAATTTGTGCGTCCTCCCCTTTGACGGGAGGGAAAACTGGAGGCCAATAGAGCCCCAGCCCTCCAAAAGGATGTCGAGCATTTACTTATGAAAGACATATTTTGACTCTCCTCTAAGTAGGGTTGAGGCACCTGAGCATCACTCCTTTCCTTGACATCCCTGTTGAAAACAAAACAAAAAACTTTCGAGTTCTTCATTTGTTGCGAGTGTATCAAAAGGATGAGGCCTTATCTGTTTTTGTTGTTGTTTTGGTTTGGTTTAGTTTGGTTTGTTTTTTTTGTCGTCTTGAGACTGACTGATGGGGGCCTCGAACTCGCCACCACCTCCGGCTAAAACTGGGATTACAGGCGTAAAATGCCACGTTCGGCTCTGATGCAGTGGTTTAGCATAAGAAGTTTCCTTGCCTTTGTTCAGGTTGGAGGGTTTTAACTACATCAAGGGTATTTGTGGACCCGGTAGCCTCTCCCTTAGGATGCTGGCGGATTGCATCTAGATTTGGGATATGCTTTATTTTTTTTTCCCCATATGCAATTTAGCTGGTTCATCACACTTAACACTGTTAGGTAATGTTTCTAATGATACCCTTTAGTCACCCGGGGACAACTTTGGCGAGAAACACGTGCAGATGCACCCGGCGTTGAATTTATATCTACACACACACACACACACACACACACACACACACACACACACACACACACACACACACACACACACACACACCACGGGAGGGGAGGCTAGTAAAGACAGGCGCGCTTTGCGTGTACTTTAGTCACCCGGGGACAACTTTGGCGAGAAACACGTGCAGCTACACCCGGCATGGAATTTATATCTACACACACACACACACACACACACACACACACACACACACACACACCACGGGAGGGCATGGAATTTATATCTACACACACACACACACCCCACACACACCCCACGGGAGGGAGGCTAGTAAAGACAGGCGGGCTTTGCATGTTGTACTTTAAGATCCCAAATGAGGAATCAGCACCAAGTGGTGGCGCTCAAGTACTCTTGAGAAAGCCTGACATAAGGGGAGGGGCTCCACTGGCACGGAGATCGTGGCCCGTTGGGTGAGGGTGGGGTGGAGAGGCAAGGAGGAGAAATCACGCATGCTCATTGCAAGCAAAGGCGTCTGCGCGGCAATCAAAGTGCGCATGCGTAAGTGAGAGCCCGGGGACCGGTTGCGTTCAACACTAGTGATGGAGAAGTGCGCCAATGGCTTGGCTGGGAGGGCGGGAGGCGCGGAATGTTCTGGTAATTATGATTGCGAAATAGCGAGGGGTTCGGTAAGTTGTCCTTGATCCAAATCGCCATCTTAGGCTAAGGGGACTTGTAGAGAGGCAAATCTACTTTTCTAGTTGTTGAAGGGCTCGATCTGAGTTGGAGACTGCGGCCAAACTCACTGAAAATCATTCCAGAATCTTAAGTCTCTCCGTGGTCAGTCTGATAATGGGAACTTTAAAATATAGAGAAGATAGGCTGTAAAAGGTTGCCGCCGCAGCATGCTGTGCTTACTGTCTACCCACATTCAGACAAAGCCTGTTCGAAAGACTTCTGAATGATCCTGGCCGATCTTGGCTCTCATTTATCTCACCCACCAGAGTAGCCAAACGCAGTGACTACAGTGAAGTACGCTACTATTGTATGTGTGCCTGAAACGCTTGGACTTTTCTCCCCTACAAAATATAGGCGAGAGGATTTAGCTGTTTCTAAATGCTTATTACATTGATCGAAACCTAAGATCTGGGCGAGTGGCCTCTTTAAATTTACTGACACGTAGAGACACTAAAAGTAAAGGCAGTGGTAATATGAAGGAGTCCCGGGGTTACGCCCCTTCTCTCTCTCTCTCTCTCTCTCTCTCTCTCTCTCTCTCTCTCTCTCTCTCTCTCTCTCTCTCTCTCTCTCTCTCTCTCTCTCTCTCCCTCTCCCCTCTCTCCCTCTCCCTCTCCCTCTCCCTCTCCCTCCCTCTCCCCCTCCTTCCCTCCTTCCCTCCTTCCCCCCCCCCCCCTCTCTCCCTCTCTCCTGCTTGGCCTGAGATTAAGCTGGGAAATTGGAGGTTGGTTGTTTCATTTTGTTTGGGTGCTGAACTGTTTTGATTCTGAGGATTACTACTCAAAATCTACAGTAAATTGCTAAAACTAATAATTTAGCTTTTAGATATGGGAAAGAATAGAGAATTTTAGAATGAGATAGCTTTTCTATTAATCCTGTCAATGATCTTTTGCTGTCACTATTTCATTCTCTGGGCCTGTTTGTCTAATAATATGTACAGATCTATAGTACTTACAAGCACAAGATACCACTCTAAAGGTTTAACTTATTTCATAACCTCCACAATCCTATGGAATAGAATGGTATTACTCATTTTATTACAGATGAGAACTTTGAGGAACACAGATTAATTGTCTAAGGTTTTATAGCCGGTTTGAATGGTCAAGCCTGGGTATTTCTCCACATTTTCTTGTTTCATAATCCTGTGCTCGCAACATTTCTTATCCCTTACAACGAAGGGACACATTTAAGGGAATTATTTCAATTTTTGTCTGAAATCATAAATCTTAACCAAAGCATTAAGAAAGGAGACTGTTTACTGTTTTTACCTCAGTGCACAGTATTACAAGAATGGGAGATAAAAAGTAACTCGATGATTTGGAACCTCTGGGAGTGGCTCTCCTTCTGTACAGTGTCTTCTATATTTTTTTGTTCTGCAGAGGGCATAAAATGGCCAACTGCAGCAGGCTGGACACACCCTTGTTTTTGCTTGATTTATGATATGGGCCAAGGCTTTGGCAACCAGAGTTTGCTGCAGATTAAAAAAAAAAAAACTTACACTGATAATTTGTTGTTGGCTCAAAATTCTTTCTTCTTTGTATGTTTCCAGTTTTATTTTTATTCAAGTAATATTTCATATCTTATTATCTGTTGAAATTTTAACTTTACTGTTGATTGCTCATTAGTGTTCTATTACTCAGATTTTTGTTTTGTTTTGTGAGACAGAGCTTCTGTGTAGCCCTAGCTGTCCTGGAACTAGCTCTGCATACCAGGCTGGCCTCGAACTCAGAGATCACCTGCCTCTGCCTCCCAAGCGCTGCAATAAAAGGCGTGTGCCACCACTGCCCGACATACTCAGATTTTTATAACCCCAGCATTTGGGAGAATGAGGCAGGAGGATTGCTATGAGTTGGCTACATAGCAAAACCGTGTCTTATGAAACAACAAAAATGCATTACGAGACACAGAAAAATTCCATCTTGTCTTTGTAACACCTTCTGAACCAATGGACTTTTTTCTTTTTGGTTTGTTTCAGAATAACAATAATTTTACTACAGCGTAAGATTTGCTGTTCCAGATAAATAATAAAAAATCAGATTTTTGTTGTTGATTTTTGAAGGGAGGAATCTACACTCGGTAGTAAGGGCTGTCTGTGGTGTTTATATTCTGGTTTTGGTTCAGTCAGTTTGCTTATCGACAGTGTCTAAAAACTTAGAAGTGGCTAGAAGAGACTATTGTAAAGAACTGACTATTTGCTTTTAAAACATGCAGCTAGAGCACCATAAAGAGAAGAAAGTACCATTTCCCTCAAAACAAACATCCCGAAGCAGAAAACCCATCATTCCTGAAGTTAACCCTGAAACTAATTTTATTGACAATGTTTTATTCTTAAACCACGACAGGGAAAATTAATAAAAAGCAGGGAGCCGCTGCTTTAAAAGTTGTGCAAAAGTCTAAATGATACTGCATCTTTTGCTGATGGATCCTCTGGATTAGGAGCATTTTTTAAAAAGCCTTGCAGAACTGTGCGCGTGCCGTACTGGGTGGAGACCGCTTATCTTGCAAAATGCACAAACATTTTCCCAACTTGTCTACATTAAAATACACAATTTGGTCATGAAATACACGTGAGATGCTGCCAATGGTTATTCTGGGTATTTCAGGTTTAAAGTCCCTTCCCAAAAATGGAATTCTGAGGGTCGGCACTGACCACGTGGAAGCTCTTTGTTCTCCGGCATTGTACGTCCCCCCCCCCACCCTTGTGGGGTTACGCGGATGGGCCTGCTGGAACCTAGGCTGAATTCCAACTCGCTGTGTAGGCGAGAAGGACGGGAGCGCTAGATCTCCCTCCTCCTAAATGCTGTTCTCGTGATTCTGGTTTAAAGCCGGAAAGATGTTGTGCCAGGCAACTCTGGTTTTCCCTAAAGTTCTCTAGTGGGATGCTCGACCATCTTGTCGACTCCAGACCTCTTCCATTGCTCGAGTGGAAGGCCCAGGATCTATTTCCGGGTGACATCGTGTCTCCGGCCGCTGCCATCACAGCCCCTCGGGAAATGTAGTCTCAGGTTGTGCGCGCGGGCTGAGCCTCCCCCCCCTCGCCCCCCCTCGTCCGAAGGAAGCCTCTTTTCCCGCGCACCGCGCGGAGCGCGGGTGGCAGAAACGGAAGTGACGTGCCGCAGTGAGACGGGGACTTGACCGGCGGGGGGGGGGGGGACCCGGAGCTGAGGCACGCCCTGCAGCGCACGCTGCTGTGCCTGTGTCAAATGGTGGGATTTCCGAAGTTTTTTACGGTGGTAATCTGTCCGCAAAGAGACTCTTACTGTTGCCCGGTTTTGAAGAAGGGAGTGAAAATGTTTCATGCTGGTGGTTTTTGTTTGTTTTTCGAGACAGGATTTCTCTCTGTGTAGCTTTGGAGCCTGTCCTGGAACAGGCTGGCTTCGAACTTACAGAGATCCACCTGTCCCTATCTCCTGAATGCTGGGATTAAAGGTGTGTGCCACCACTGCCCGGCTCATTCTGGTTTTTAATGTACAGGTGAATCAGGTGTTCTCAGACTTTATGGGAAAGGTGGCGAATATTATTTGATTCCTGGAACCGGTTACTCCTGGTCCATATGCTTTGCTTATTTAAGGTTTATTAAATACAGTGGTCAAACATTAATATTCCATATTCATGTCTCATGTATATTTTGCGTTTAATTGTGTGTGTATGTGTGTGTGTGTGATGGGAAATAGTCTCATGTAGTGTAGGATGACCGTTGAAAGTTTAATCCTCCTGCCTCCACTTCCCCAGTGCTGGGATTGTGAGTGGCATTGCTAAGTCTTGCTTTTATTTATTTACTTATTTATATATTTATTTTGACTTATTTTTGAAGCAGTCTCACTAATGTGGCTCGGCTAGTCTAGTACTCCCTATGTAATGCAGGCTTACCTGTTTGTGGGGATCATAACACCCCACACTCCTGGATTGTATAGGCCTGGCAAATGGAACTTTTTTTTTTTTTAATCAGAGTAGGTTGTGGATTTGGGGGTTTATAGGAGCCAGGGGAGTTTAATTGCTTTCAACTACTTAGTTACACTGATTTTAACCTAGTTAGTTGTAACCTTGTTTTTCATCTTTTTTCTAGCTGTAGATAGTATGAAATAAGGCTTGTATGTGGTGGGTTTGAAGGACTGAAATATGAAAGAAAGGCGGTGGGGGGGGAGGAGGAGGTCGTGCTTTACAGAAGGTGGTTGGAAACATCGTTTTTTGAAGCTCTGTGTCTATCTTAAGCATTCCACCCCTTGCCAGCATCTACTTCTCCAATCTGAACTAGGATCGGGAATTAAGGAAAATGTGGAATTATATGAAATGGCCAAACAGTTTTTAAAAGTATTTAACCCTTGATTTGTGCAACTGTTTTTTTTTTTCCCCTCTCCGGTTGTTGCAACACCCAACAGCCTGGAGAAACACCTCCTTGGAAGAAATTTTACATCAGCCGTTATAGTACAACCTGATTAAGTCTTTCAGCACTTGTCTTCTGTCTGTGCACATACCTGTTTTCTTATGTTCTCAACTGTAGGATCCATGAGGGCAGGGGAAATTTCACTTCCAAAGCTCATTCTGGCATATTAGTAGGCCTTACCAATATTTACTGGATGAATAAATGAATTAGTCATCAACAAACATTTGTGATCTCTATAGGTTCCTGACTGTCAACTGTTTCTTCAAAATGATCCGACACTTTTTTTTTTCTAGTTATCTATTTCCTCGGGGATTTTCAAGAGACAACGCTTTTTTTGTGTTTGGATTTCAGGCCTTGGTTTTTCCGTGTGTTTCTGCTGTAGGTTCTGCTGACATTTGCTTCCTTGGTGAGGCCTGGGTGCTAGTTGTTAGATCTGAGCCTCATCCTAACGGCCCAGTGTTTGCCAAAAGCTCCTTTTCCTTGTTTCATTCCTCTTTCAACCCCCCCCCCCCCCCACACACACACACACACACACACCACCACCACCACCACCACCACCACCACCACCACCAGCAGTACTGGAATCACCTTTATAGTATAAAACCATGTAGCCCCTGTAATCCCCATTTTTGCATATACTTTTCTGTTGGAAAAGGAACGTTTTTGTCTCCAGATACTTTGGCAAAGCCTTTACCTTCCCCCACTTCATTTACCAGGGACCCATTTAGCATTTTAGAAACTCATTCAGCAGCATATGGTAATCACAGCATTTGAAAATTGAGGCAGGAGGATCACTATGGGTTTGAAGCCAGCCTGGGATACATACAGAATAACTCCCCCCCACACACACACCAAAAAGGAAGAAAAAAGAAGCTCTGTATTGCTTTTGGCAAGTCTTTTGATGTTGTCTCAGATATTCTGAGAGATTTTAAATTCTCAGCGTCTTATAGTTACTAACTGTCCTTCAGGATCTGCTTTTGAGCACTAACTCTAGACATTCATTTTTTCTTTTGTTTTCTTCCAGGAAGAATAGTTTATTGAGTGCACTGCAAGAGGATGGCCTGCTTCCCCTTTAATATATCCTCCATAATGACTTGAAGCATGTGGACATGGCAAACCTGAATGCCTTCCCACTTGCCTCCCCCCCACCCCCACACACCATGAATTTGCACTGAGAATGCAGAAAGGAAGGACTTTGGAATAAGGCAGAAAAGTAGGCTGAGACAAATATTTAGACTTTGGTCGCTATGGTTGGTTTTGTTTGTTTTAGCAATGCCAGGAGATAGACAGTAGGCCCTTCCTTGTACATGCTAGACATTCTAGCTAAGTGCTGTCCCAATGAATTACAGCTGTATCTCCTGTTAGATGGCACTAAAGCTTTTGCTTTGTTTTGTTTAGATCTGCTTTCTTAGAACCCTAGCTGTCTGACTTTGAGCCTGAGGAGGAGTGCACTTACCCCATGTCTCTGCTCAAGTGCTGGGATTACAGGTTTGTACCACCATTCCTGTTTCATTGTTTTTATTCAGTGCTAGCGGCACAACCTAGGGCTTCCTGCGTGTTAAATGAATACTTTGCCGACTGAACTACATCATCACTCCCCCCTCCTTTTCAAAAAACAAGACTTTACTTTTTTGAGATAGGGTCTGATGTAGGCCAGTCTGGCCTCAAACTCCTGTCTCAGCCTCCAAAGTGCTAGGATTGCGGGCATGAGCCACTTGGCCTGGCAATTGATTGTGCTAATTTTGTTTTTTAACTTTGATTTTTATGAATATGGGTGTTTTGCCTGCAGGTATGTGTGTGCTGTGTTCCTGTAGTGCCCTACAATACCAGAAGAACATCCTGAGTCTCCTGGAACTGGAGCTACAGTAGGTTGTGAACCACCATTTGCGTGCGGGGAAGAGCAGCCAGTGCGCTTAACTGCCAGAGCCATCTCTAGCCCCTAACCTTTTTTTAACGCACTAATTTCTTTTTAAATCAAGTCAACACATTTATTATCAGTTACATGCTTTATAAAAAGAGGTATGGAGGTTGGGTCAGGGTTGTAAAAGCAAAAACAAATAAACACAAGTCTATATACATTCTCTATACCTGGTTGCAGAGATGTCTCCTCTTCAGGAGCCACTGCTGCACTTTTACAAAACTTCTTTGTAGAAGCACTCCTGGGTGCACTTAAAATAGCAGATCTTGTTGCAGGAGCTGGTGCCAGAACTGGATTCATCTGTGGCACAGGAGCAGTTGGGGTCCATGGAAAGTGGAAGTAGCAGCTAGAGATGGGAGACCAGAGCTGGTGTGCTAAGAGGAAGCCTGATCTAAGTTGCCAATTTTTAACCAGAGAAGCCAGGAGTGTGAAGTAATTCACTTACTCAGATTTATTCTGCTAGCCAGCTGGGTGGGGTATTAATAAGAGTTTAGAGCCTGCCCCCGGCCCAAGGCAAAAGCACTGTTTTGGTGGTCTCCCCTAAGAGTCTGTTGTCATTCATTTTGCTACACCGAAAAGTTAAAGATCTATAAGGCAGATGTAAGAAAGGTAAAAAACTTAAAACAAACTCTGCCTCAGGGTGTAGCTTTGTGGGAGTCCAAGGCCCTAAGTTGGACTTATCACCATCACCAAAGCAAACATTAAAAGTAACAAAACCCACCATAATGGGGGTTGAGATTGAAGATCTGGACCAGTGTTGGCTGCAAGGGCTTACTCAATCAATCATTCCTTGCATCAAAAGAAAACCAATGTGGAGAAACATTGTTTAGGCTTATATCGTGATGAGCTCATTCTGGAGGTAAAATGGGGATGGGCCTAACAGTTTTCTTCTTCAAACTACTTGCTGGGTTTCTTCTACCATTTATAAATGTTTTCAAGTACCCACATAGAATGCCTAATTCCTAGATTTATAATGAAAAAAAATTTTTTTGGTGTTTTGTTTTGTTTCCGAGACAGGGTTTCTCTGTGTAGCTTTGCACCTTTCCTGGAACTCACTCGGTAGCCCAGGCTGGCCTCGAACTCAGAGAGATCCACCTGCCTCTGCCTCCCGAGTTCTGGGATTAAAGACGTGCGCCACCACCGCCCAGCTATAATGAAAATTGTATTGTTCTTTATCTTATTTATTCCTGATTGTTGGGTTTTAAAAATCTTTCTGTGCCAGGAGGCGTTCACCTTTAATCCCAGCACTCAGGAGGCCGAGGCAAGGGGATCTCTGGGATCGAGGCTAGCCTGGTCTATAAAGTGAGTTCCAGGACAGCCAGGACTGTTACATGGAGAAACTTAATCTCAAAAACAAAACAAAAACTTTCTGTTTTAATCTCTTTGTATCTGATTTATCAGGGTGCAAAAAAAAAAAAAAAAAAAAAACAGCTTCTTTTGATTCTTAACCTGTATCTTCCAAACTGAGATGAATATTGATTAGTATAGCCTAACTACAAAGTGCAGATTCTCCCAGAAAGGATTAGAGTAGCTAGATAGATAAGCAGGCATTTTGCTTTTGAAAGAATGGCTCCTGGTCATTGTTCGCTGAAAATACTATGAGAAAGGAAAGGTGTTAAACCATGCCCAGTACCTTGTAGTAGACAAGCTTCATCCTTTTTCTGCCTCTGGGGCAAATGGTTTCCTAAATACTTGCTACTGGATAAAAGTCTAAAATAAAATACCAATGAAGGTGTAATTAGCATTTGAAATTCTAGTAATAGGATTTTAAGCTCACCTGCTGCTAGCTTTCCTTTGATCAATTAGAGAAGCGTTCAAAGCCAGCAGGTGGTGGCGCACAGCATTCTCCCAGGTCGGCAGAGGCAGGTAGATCTCTGAGTTCAGGCGAACAGTGCTCATAGCCGGGACTCAGCAGAGAAACCTTGTCTCAAAAACAAAACAACACATAGACGAAAGAAAAGAGCACAATCCAGAACGCTGTTTAATTTTATCTTGAACTCTGGTGACCTCTGTGAGTGTCACCTTAATTTAAATGGAAGGGCAAAAACCATGTCATAGTCATCTTTTTATTTCTCTTATAATAAAGGTTTATGTTCATTGCTACGTGTATATATTTCCAAGCATGTACTTAGGGATATATAAAAAAGTTTCAAGGATGGGCGTGTTCACAGTTTTGATAGCAGTAAATAATGGTAAAACCTATTTATGGATAGGAATTCTGTTAAATAATCTTTTGTGTATTTGTGCACAGTAAAAAAGCCATTAAAGTTAGAAATATTCCTAGCACTTGGAAGGCAGAGACAGATCTCTAGAAGTTCAAGGCCAATCTGATCTATGCAGCAAGTTCTAGGCTAGCAAAGACTACATTAGTGAGAAACTATCTCAAAAATAAATCAATGTAGAAGAAACTCAAAGTAATAAAACTGTTATAAAGGGTTTACTAATAGATTTGCTTAGTAGAATTAGCTAAAATCGATACTCCTTTTAGTAAAGTAACTAATTCACACAAAGTAGAATTAGCTAAGGGAGCATTGCCTCTAAAAGAAAAGTAGGTAGACAAGCCTGTTAGAGAGCAGCAGAAACTTAGGATGCTAGGGTGTAAATGTTTATTCACCAGGGTTGTCCACCCTTTAAGGCCCGTCACCATAACAAAGGAGACAATCCTGACTTAAACCAGTTCTTTGGGCATTCCCTAAATGGCAGCTCAAGGGGGCAGTGCAGGAACATAACCAGCATGAAATCCTGCCTTTCCGTAAAGCCCCAGGTTCTCTCTGGGGAAAAGCTCAATTCTACTAGATGGGAAGATCACCCTGGGTAACAACTACTTGAGAAGAAAACATTGGTATATTTAAGAAATAATTCTGAGCCGGGTGGTGGTGGCGCACGCCTTTAATCCCAGCACTCAGGAAGCAGAGGCAGGCGGATCTCTGTGAGTTGGAGGCCAGCCTGGGCTACAGAGTGAGATCCAGGACAGGCTCCAAAGCTACACAGAGAAACCCTGTCTTGAAAAACCAAAAAAAAAAAAAAAAAAAAAAAAAAAAAAGAAATAATTCTGAGAGAGAGAGAAAGAGAGAGAAAGAAATACACACTGTCATAGCACTCAGGAGGCAGAGGTAGGGGAATCTCTGAGTTCAAGGCCAGCCTGAACCTTGTCTCAAAAAAAATACTGCCCCCCACCACAACAGAAAAGAGAGAAAGAAATAATCCTGGCACTGTCTTTGCTGTGTAAATCTCTCTTTGCCCAAGTGGCCAGGCAGAATCTCTAGGCTCTGTTTATATTGTTCAAAGTGCAACCTGGGCCCAGGACCTAAAAGAGGTTTTAAGGATGACAGCATATGTAGAATGCTTAAGCCTAAGGTTTATAGAAGTTAGTAAAATCTATTCAAGGTGGGCTCCTCTCTGAGCATTAGCCAGAGTTAGATGAGCACTATTAAAGAGGTTTTTCCGTTATTAATCTCTAAGGGTGTGAAATGATTTCTCACTGGGAAAGGGGATATAACAAAATAAGTAAAAAGAGGGTAATAATCTGATAATGGTGACCCATGCCTGGAATCCTAGCACCTGGGAAGTGGAGGCAGCATAATGAGGAGTCGGAAGTCATCTTTGCTACATAGAGTTTAAGGCTAGCCTGGGTTACCTAAAACCCTGCTTCAAAACAAAGGAAATGTCTCATAGATGAATATTGTCTTAGATTACTGTAGTAATTTCAGAAAATGACTGTAGAAGAGTAAATATAGTTGGTTTAACTTTTATAAAATCAGAGCTCCTGTTCGTAGTTACCCATGAAAGTAGTTAGGACAAACGTAGCTCACATGTTACACTTTTTAGAATTCTGGATGGCTTTGTTTCTATCCTTAATAGAACTGTGGGTCTCTTTTTCTTACATAACAAAGGGTTGAGCAGGGCCTTGTATGCATTCAGCTTGGTACTCTTAACACTGACCAGACCCTCAGTCTCTACTGGCACTCAGATGAGCTTTTATTTTTGGTTGGCAGTGCTAGGTATCTTAACTCAAGGCACTGGACTTGGGTGGATTCAGGTACACAAAGCTGTTCCCTGAAGCCGAGTTTGTTTTAAGATTTTAGGGTTTTTGCATCTGACTCTTCAATGGAGCAACCTTAACAGAAGTGGAGTATAAAAAAGATGGTTGCAGGACTTGGAAGCTGGCGAAATTCATTTAGAAAAGAGCTGGCCTGGAGCATGGCAGAAGAGAGCTGTGGAAATAAGCTCTTTTTTTTGTTTGTTTGTTTCCAGAGAGAGGTACTGCCAACTGTGCAAGTGCAGGCATTTTACAGACTCCAGTTTATACTTAACGTTTATTTCCCTGTTAGGTCATGTCCACATTCCTTCTCCCAGCCTTGGCTCTATGGGTTAAACACATTATAATAATAGGGAGTGGCAGCAGCTGCTCATGGCTACACAGATCTTAATCTAGTAAATAGCACCTTTAGTTTCCCTAAGAAAGGGGGAGCTCGGGGCTGGAGAGATGGCTCAGCGGTTAAGATCACTGGTTGCTCTTCCAGAGGACCCAGGTTCAATCCCCAGCACCCACATGACAGCTCACAACTGTCTGTAACTCCAGTTCCAGAGGATCTGACACCCTCACACAGACATGCATGCAGGCAAAACACCAGTGCACGTGAAATAAAAATAAAGAAAATTAAAAAAAAAAAGAAAGGGGGAGCTCAAACTCTTTAAGGTGTATGCTCCCCCCACCCTACCCCACCCCCGCCACCCCGCCACCCGCCCAGTTCAGCTGGGCACCAGACTTTGCACACCTATGGGGAAAGCTTCCAGTCAGGTTTCCTGGCCACTAGTAGACTAGAGAACTGATGGTGTTTGGCTGTTGGTAGGTGGTGGGTGACACTATTCAACTTGAGCCCTAGGACTCTGCTACTTAGACTTCCTGAGGTTTAAGTTGAGGACTGCTTTTGTCTCATGAAGACACAAGAAACCTAGCAGTTTTAGCTGGTGCTGCCAACATCTAATGACAGGTTAATAGCCTAGGTTTTGAGTCATTGTTGAATTGCTAGAGTTTTGCGGTCCTTTTTATGGTCAGCACCTGGAAACTGTAAACATAAGAAGCAGTAGGATTGCCTCCCCAGAACCATGGATACTTGAGGTCTTTGGCTTTTGCTTTGACATCTTCCCTCCCAGCTATTCCACCAGTGAGGAGTCTTGGAGATTAGAAGACTAGCCGCTTTTGATAAACTGAGCAGCTGCTGTTTTTTACTACTACATACCCAGCAAGGGGATGGAATTAGGAATGGCAGTGCTTTTTTTCTTCAGAACCAAGGGTTTTGTGAATCCCGTACTGTCACCTGATGATAACTAGTGAAGGATTGGTTACCTTTTACGGTCTCTGCTTATGTTCCTTTGAGATGGGGTTCCTAAGGCTGTCCTGGAGCTTTTTCAGCCCCTTTGCCTCTGTGCTGGGGATAGCATCCCAGGTTGTATTGGGTTATTTTGGTCAGGGATATGGAATGTAGGTTCATAGACTGCCAGGCATAGAAAGTTGGCCAAGGAGTCACATTTGTCTCCCATTCAAACATAGGGCTAATGAACCCTCCAAGGAAAGATTGGAATTAAATTAAGGTCTGAGTTAGAGTTCCATACATTTGACAATTTACTATAGTTACTTGGTACCTCTACCTAATTTAACTTCTTATTTTGTTTTTCAGAGTTCCAGGAGTCAAATTTGATCTTATGCATGCTTGGCAAGCAGTCTACCCCTGATTTCAATCCTCTAGCCTTTAGGGTTTTTTTTTTTTTTTTTTTTTTTTTGAGACAGTCTTTCTTTGTAGCTCATGCTGGTCTCCTACATAATCCTCCTACCTTGTCTCCAGAATGCTGGGATTACAGGCCTATGATACCTTGCCTATCCCAAGTCAACTTTTTACACATTAAGAAAACAAACATGAAAGAAGAAGAGGCTTTTCTAGGAAGGAGTATGAGGAACATAGAAGGGGAATGAGAAGGTAATGGGATAGTGTGATCAAAACATATTCTATGACTCCCCAGGGGAGACCTTGCCTTGGAGGAAGTGGGAATGGGGGGCAGATTGGGGGGAAGGCTGGGGGGTTGGAGGAGGAAGGACAGGGGAATCTGTGGCTGATATGTAAAATTAAATTAATTATATAAAAAAAAACATTCTATCCGGGCGGTGGTGGTACATGCCTTTAATCCCAGCACTTGGGAGGCAGAGGCAGGCGGATCTTTGTGAGTTCAAGGCCAGCCTGGTCTACAGAGCGAGATCCAGGAAAGGCACAAAGCTACACAGAGAAACCCTGTCTCGAAAAAACAAAGCAAAAAAACCCAAAAAACATATTCTATACATGCACAAAGTGTCAAGAGATTAAAAAAAAGCAAAAATGAGGGGCCGGAGAGATGGCTCAGTGGTTAAGAACACTGACTACTTTTCCAACAGACCCAGGTTCAATTCCTAGCACCACATGGTGGCTTACAACTGTCTGTAACTCTAGAGGATGTGGCTTAATATTCAGTTGTGCCTTGCTATGAATTCCTTGTGCTCATAATTCTAAAGTGTGTATGTGTGTGTGTCTCCGTTTAAAGCGCCTGGATAGTCACATAGACAGAACTTCTGCCTCTGAGCTCCAGGCCCCCTCTTTAGCATTTGTTTTGGGGTATCTGCCATTTGCAAATACCCTCCTTGAGCTACTTCCTAAGATAGAGTCAACCCCAAACAAAGCCTTAAAAGACAAGCAAGGAACAGGTAGCTACCAGGCCATCTGTTAGACCCCTTAAAACTACCCAAACTAAGATGCATGTCTCACAGGCCAAATGCCTACCAACTAGACAAACAAGCTTTGTTTCTTGTGCAAATCAAGGCCTCCCCTCTCTCTCTCACTGACCCAGAGAACCTCTTAGATCAAAGGGAGTTTCCCCTTAGCAGGTGTTTCAAGCTGTGATTCAGATTGACTAGCTATCAGTACTCTTCCCCCGCCCTGCCTTGTCAGGAAACTGGCCACATAGGAAAAAAAATGACAGTTTTAACTTCTAGTGACCTACAGACTTTTCCTACCCTATCACCTGTAAGTCTATAGTTGATGCATTCGTAATCCCTTCACCGAACCACAATAAGGATATATTTCTAGCACGTAAATTCCTTTTTGATTTATCCCAACAACTAACAGACTCCACTCTTATCTCTTCCCTTTTGGGTTGCAAATAGAATTACCAGAAAGCCTCTAGCAGGGACCCCTACAATCTTGTGCTGTATACAAAACACAAGATATTACTGTTTGGGATAGGATATAGACCAGTCCTGGAGAAGGGAGACAGAGAAGGATGGGGAGGAAGGACTGAAGGATGGGGAAGAAGGACCGAAGGATGGAGAATTGAGAGATTGAAGATGAGAGAGAATTAGGATTGGAAACAACTAGGAATGGAGGGAACAGAGAATTGAGGGAATGAAGAATTGAAGGAATAAGGAATGGAAGGATTGAAAAATTACAGGAACTAGGAACTGAAGATTGAAGGATTGAGGAATTGAGGAATAGAGGGAATTAAGAATTGAGAGAACAAGAAGAAGGGAACTAAGGAAATAAAGAGACATCTGAGAGAGTTGAACTAAAGAGCTCCGAGCAACTGGATTCATTCCTGCGACACTGGTAGTGTCTCTCCAGGTTCCCTGGATTTGTATAAATTTAAGGCTGGACCTTAAATATTATACAAAATGGTAAGAGTAAAAAAATACTGGTTTAGTTATAAACATTAAATGTATTTAATTATTCAATTATTTGTTGTGCCAGAAAGTAAACTAAGGTTTGAAAGTACCCTGGAGAGAGGGGGCAAAGGGAGGGAAAAATGAAATCTGTGGTATGATTATGTAGATGGCAAAGGAGGAAAAAAATGAAAATAAGGTTGGATTTCAAACCTTGACTATTCTGTCTTAATGTGTTTCTTGTTCCTGTCTCCAGATGATGCTGTTAGAAAATATGCTGCTTGTGATGAGATACATTGAGCCCTTTGATCCAGTGAGGTTATTAAAGAATACAGTTTTGAAATCATGGTAAAATCTGGGTAAGTGACTCAGTGTCTCCACTGGGCTTGCCTAGCTAAAGAGTAGGGACAGGGAAGGTGGTCTTACTAGGCATCAGTTACTTCACATTTACCCATTATGGAAAATAGATTAAAATATTCAGTCTACAGTAAAGAAGAAAGAAGCTAACCTCCTTTTTTGACTTCCATTTTTATAGATGGTAAAATTGGAAATTTTCCAAGATTTTAGTTATGGTAGTAGATTCGAATTCTAATATGTCTACATAAAAATAAATTTGTATGCTCACTGAAAGATTTTTTATCATTTTAAAAGTCATTATGACTACTTTGGGATTTGGCGGGTATGGGGGCTGGTCATGAACTGGATATGTAACCCAGGCAGGTCTAAGACATGGCAGTCCTTCTGCCTCAGCCTCCTTATCCCTGGTAAAAGCATGAGCTATCAGGCTATTACAGTTTCTAAGATCATATTTTCCTGATGATGATAATTACCATGAGATAACATATGATTATATGCCGGGCAGTGGTAGTGCACACCTTAAATCCCAGCACTGGGGAGGCAGAGCCAGGTAAATCTCTGTGAGTTTGAGACCAGCCTGGTCTACAGAGTGAGGTCCAGGACAGGCACCTAAACCACACGGAAAAACCCTGTCTCAAAAAAAAAAGAGAGAGAAAATATGATTATATATCAAATCACCTGGGATGCTTGTTGAACATGCAGGTTGCCTGGAGGCCAGAATTTTGTCATTGGTGAAGATAAACTTTTAAGACCTGCTCCATAGACTGTCCTGCTCAAAATTCACCAGCACACCAGGATATCCGTTTCCATGGACACCTTTGGGAGACAGTTGGAAAGCCTTGGTAAGTTGTTAGTACTTTTGATGAGGTTTCTCATTTGGTAACAAAAGGAAAGTGGTCACCATGTGGCATTCCAGCCTTCTTCCATAGATAGTAAGTACTACCTGAGATTATTCTAGTTGGTAACCAGACCCTGCCCTTACGGGACTTTCCTTTTTGTGAGGTAGGATAATGGCTAAATACTAAATGTATAGTGTATCATGAATGTTTTATTGGGGTTTCCCCATTATTTTATTTCTGTTTATTTTGGTTTTTCGAGACAGTTTCTGTGTGTAGCCTTGGCTGTCCTGGAACTCACTCTGTAGACCAAGCTGACCTCAAACTCACAGAGATCCACCTGCTTCTGTCTCCTGAGTACTGGGATTAAAGGTGTGTGCCATTATCACCCAGCAGGATTTTTCCCTTTATGATGTGAAAAATAACATTCAATGATGTTAGCCAAGTGGAATGGCTGTAATCCCAGGCAGGTTGAGGTAGGAAGATTGCCATTTTGAGGCCATCATAGACTACATAGCACGACCCTGAACATAGCAAAACAATCACAACAAAGAAACATGACTAATTTTTTTTTTTTTTTTTTTTTTTTTGGTTTTTCGAGACAGGGTTTCTCTGTGTAGCTTTGCGCCTTTCCTGGTACTCGCTTTGGAGACCAGGCTGGCCTCGAACTCACAGAGATCCGCCTGCCTCTGCCTCCCGAGTGCTGGGATTAAAGGCGTGTGCCACCACCGCCCGCCTCATTGCTTCTTTTTTAAGATTTATTTATTTAATATGTATACAATGTGCTGTCAGCATGTATGCCTGCATGCCAGAAGAGAGAGAACGCCAGATATTGTTATAGATAGTTGTGATCCACCATGTGGTTCCTGGGAACTGAACTCAGGACCTCTAGAAGAACAGCCAGTGCTTTTAACCTCTGAGCCATCTCTCCAGCCCCTGCCATTGCTTCTTTACAAAAGGATGGCTGATCCAGCTGAGTGTGGGAAAATCATAGACAGTGACAGACAACCTTTTTGTTGCTCCTTTTTTGGATAGATTATAAATGTTTTTTTTTTTTTTTTAATTAATGGTTGCTGGGACTCAAACCCCCAGGATCTTAGACATACAAAACCATTGCTCTACCACTGAACTGTATCTCTGACTCTGAGGAAGATATCTTTGAAAAAATGTTGTAAAGTTTGCCAGATCCTATGAGTGAATGACCTCAAAAGAGAAGAGGAGGCGACGCCCATCAGTGATAAAGGTAACACAGTACGTAAGGTAAGTAGGGAAATAAAGCCGGACTTTGACCTCACTTTTGGTTAGGGAGACTCTTAGAAATGCCATTTCTTTTTTTGGGGGGGCGGGTGTTGAGACAGGGTTTCTCTGTGTCGCTTTGGAGCCTTCCCTGGAACTCACTCCGTAGCCCAAGCTGGCCTTGAACTCACAGAGATTTGCCTGCCTCTGCCTCCCAAGTGCTGCAATTAAAGGCATGCGCTACCACCTGACAGAAATGCCATTTTTTTCTAGTTTTTATTTATTTATGCATTTTATGTAGGCGTGCCATTTCTTTTTTGTATAAATATTTTTATTTTATAATTAATTTAATTTTACATATCAGCCACGGATTCCCCCATCCTCCCTCCTCTCCCCCAGCACTCCCCCCCAAACCACCCCCCATTCCCACCTCCTCCAAGACAAGGTCTCCCCTGGGGAGTCAGCCCAGCCTGGTACATTCAATTGAGGCAGGTCCAGTCCCCTCCTCCCTGCGCCAAGACTGAGCAAAGTGTCCCAGTATAGGCCCTAGGCTCCAAAAAGCCAGCTCATGCACTAAGGACAGGTCCTGGTCCCACTGCCTGGGGGCCTCCTGAGCAGTTCAAACTAATCAACTGTCTCACTTATCCAGAGGGCCTGGTCCAGTTCCATGGGGACTCCTCTGCCATTGGTTCACAGTTCATGTGTTTCCACTAGTTTGGCTATTTGTCCCTGTGCTTTTTCCAGTCATGGTCTCGATATCTCTTGCGCATATAATCTCTCCTCTCTCGCCAATTGGACTCCTGGAGCTCCAGGAGTGCCATTTCTAAACATAGGTTATCTGACACTGCGCTATATCCTTCTGGAACAGTTTGAGGAAACCATATGTTTCCTTGTCTCATCACCACTGCTGGGGACCAGAAGAGCTGAAATGGCTCCCAAGGGAAGTTAGCTAGATGGCAAAAGCTCCTGGTTTGGTTTTGGTTTTGTGTTAGGTACCTAATGCTCATGTCTGTGCTCTGCCACTGAGTTATACTACCAGACCCCCAAACTCCTGCTTAATAAGGTTTTGTTGGAACACAGTCATCTTCATTATTGTCTAGGGTCGTTTGTACTATAACATAGTTCAGTGGTTGTGCAGGCTGTGTGGTCAGGAGACCCTGAAATATTACCATCTGGCCTCTTCAGGAAGTCTGGCCATTCTCACTGTAAGTTAAATCCTCTTCTCATTTTATTTCTAGGGTACTTGCTTTTTACAGCTGATCCTACAAGTTGAGATCAGTTTGCTTCTGAATTTCGTCCCAGGAAAATGAAGATCAAGAACGCACATCGACACAGCAGGGTATGGTAGTGCACTCCTGTGGTCTCAGCATTCAGGGTCTGAATTCAGGATAAGCAGGATATCAAAACCAGTCTCAGTGACATGAGACCAGTCTCAAAAAATGAAAGTGTTTTCAGACTGAACTATGTATACAGAATGAACTCTGCTTTATATGCCTCATTGTAGTGAACTAATTTATTCTGTATAGTTCTCTCTTCATGGAGGAGTTTTAAAAGCCAGTTATTTCTAAGTTTACAAAAGTTGTAACCTAGGAGTTTCTTGTTTGTTTCTGTTTTTGTTTTTGTTTTTGAGACCGTGTTGCACTATGTAGCCCTGGCTGGCCTGGAACTTTCTATGTGCTGAGATTAAAGGTATTCACCTTCACACACAGCTCTTAAAAAATTTTAGAAATTATAACATGTATGTACATGCACATGTAATATGTGATAATTGGGTTTTTATTGCTTGATACCACTTATTGAGCATCTAGTATAAGACTTAAACATGAAAGTTCTCTTTTGAATTTTTACCAAAAACCGGAACAGTTGTTTTTACTTTTTTTGTTTGTTTGTTTTTTTTTTTTTTGTTTTTTTTTTTTTTGGTTTTTCGAGACAGGGTTTCTCTGTGTAGCTTTGCGCCTTTCCTGGGACTCACGTGGTAGCCCAGGCTGGCCTCGAACTCACAGAGATCCGCCTGGCTCTGTCTCCCGAGTGCTGGGATTAAAGGCGTGCGCCACCACCGCCCGGCGTTTGTTTGTTTTTTGAGACAGGATGTCTCTACACAGCCCTGACTGTCTTGGAACTCACTATGTAGAACAGGCTGGCCTTGAACTCAAAAGAGATCTGCCTGCCTCTCTCTGCCTCTCCAGTGCTAAAATTGAAGGGTTGTGCCACTATGCCCACCTTAGGATTGGATTTGGGAAAAAAAAAAAGATGTATTTATTACACATACAGTGTTGTGCCTGCATGTATCCCTGCAACTCAGAAGGGCACCGCAGTTCATTACAGATGGTTGTGAGCCACCACGTTGGTGCTGGCAATTGAGCTCAGGACCTCTGGAGGAACAGCCAGTACTCTTGACATGTGAGCCGTCTCTCTAGCCGCTTAGGATTGGATTTTTATGTGTCCAGCAAAGGTTCATTTGCTCAAGGCTTGGTTTCCAAATGTAACACAGGATTCCTTTGGAGATGGGTTTTATGCTAGGAAGTTGAGGGTGTGGCCTTGAAGGAGAGACTGTGGCTAGGACCCCTTTCTATTTTCATCATGAGCTGCTTTCTGCCTTGTGCTTTTTGTCATGATGATCTATCTTCCTTGCCATAGGCTGAAGGGAGCAGGGCCAGTTGGCATGAACTAAACCTTTTGAAACTGTGATTCAAAATAAATCTTTCCTCCTTTTGAGTTGTTTTCTCTGGTATTTTGTCATGGAGATGGTAAGGTTACTAACCCCAGTCAGCTTTCTAATTAATGGTAGAATTAGGACTTAAAAGCATAATTCCCATTGCCCTCTCCCACCCCCAATGCTGATGATTCAACACTCATGTTAAGCAACATGCTCTGTCTCTGAGCTTACACCGACAGCCAATTTTCCCCCTGTGGTTCTGGAAATTGTACCTAGGTCTTCACACACATGCTAGGCAAACAGTCTACCAGTGAACTTCGTTCTGAGCCCAATTCCTTACTCCCAGAATGCTGAAGGTAAAATGTATGGCCGTGTGTCTGCTTTATCACTGCACCACACAGCCCCCTCATTGTCTTTAATTTTTTTTTATTATTTTATGTGTATGGGTGTTTTGCCTACATATGTGTCTACCACATGTATGTATGGTGGAGTCCAGAAGAAAGGGGGCTGGATCTCCTAAGACTGGAGTTACAGACAGTTTTCAGCCACCACATCAGTGCGGGCAACCAAATGTCAGGAAAAACAGCTTAACCAATGAGCCATCTTTTTTTAAGCACCAACCCCAACTCTTGCCCCATTTTTTTATTTAAGGTGTTTTGTTGTGTGTGTGTGTGTGTGTGTGTGTGTGTGTGTGTGTGTGTGTGTGTGTGTGTGTGTTGCTAGAGACTGACCCTGGGGCCTTATGCATGGTAGTCAAGTACTTTACCAGTGATCCATTTATTTATTTTCATTTTGAGACAGGGATGTCACTTAATTATCCAGGCTGATATTAAATTCACTCTGTAGCCCCAGCAAATTAAACTTGTGGTTTTTCTGCCTTAGCCTCCCAAAGTAGTTGGAATTACAGGCAATTAAAGGCCTTTGGCACCAGTCTTGAAATCTTGTCATTGGCAGTGCTGGGTTGGGGACCCAGGCATGCTAGACCAGTACTCTACCACTGGACACCAGCCCAATTTTTACATTTTAAAATATTATAATTTGGGAGCTGAGGAAATGGCTCAGTGGATAAGAATACTTGCTATGCAGTTTCAGACCTCAACACCTACATAAAAAGCTCTGTATGCGAGCTAGAGAGATGTTTCAGTGGGTTAAAAAATAAAAAAGGCTTGCTGCTCTTGAAATGGGCAAGAGTTCGGTCCTAGTATCCCTGGTTAACTGGGTCTACAGGTGCATGCCCTGACTAACTTTTTAGAATTTTAATGCCAGATGTAAACTATTCATTATAGTCATAGGTAGGCCAGGCATGGTGGCTGATGCCATTAATCCCAGCACCAGGGAGGCAGAGGCAGGTGGAGCCCTGAATTTGGGCATGATTTACAGAGTAAGTTCCAGGCCAGTTGAAGCTCCATGATAGGACCTTGTCTTAAAAATAGTCATAGATAGAAGAATTTTCAATAAAAGTATGATAGTGTCTGGCTATAAGCCAAGATGCCCTTGCATGAATGTGACAATTTTTTCTATAGCAGGGTCTTAAAATACAGTTTTCCCTCATAGGGTGGATCAGTGGGTAAGATGCTTGTCATCCACCGAAACTGACAACCTGAGTCCAGTCCCCTGAAACCTATACAACTGAAGGAGAGAACCAAGGCCCTCAGGTTTGCCTGCCTTCCATCTACACTGTGGCACATGGCCTAAACACACATCGACAACACACTGTTAAAGAATGGCCTCTATAGAGACATCATAAAACGACCTTGTAAAAGCAGAATACCTCCTTGGTTTAAGACAGCCAAATTCATGGCAGTAGAATTTCCAAGACTGCACGACATTTTTTGGATTGTGGGGAGCAGAGGGTGTTGCTTTGGGTTTGGTTTTTTGAGACATGGTTTCTCTGTGTAACAGCCTTGGCTGTCCTGGAGCTCACTTTGTAGACCAGGCTGGCTTTGAACACACTGAGATCTACCTGTCTCTGCCTTCCAAGTGCTGGGATCAAAGGTGGCTATTTTTTGCATTCTTAAAAAAAAAAAAAAAGCTAGCAGCCAGGCAGTGTGGCACACTCCTTTAATCCCAGCACTCGGGAGGCAGAGCCAGGTGGATCTCTGTGAGTTCGAGGCCAGCCTGGTCTGCAAAGCAAGATCCAGGATAGGCACCAAAACTACACAGAGAAACCCTGTCTCAAAACCAAAAAAAAAGTTAGCTATCTGTCTTTGCAGCATTCATTTGTGTGTTTTTGTTGTTTGTTAGAAACACGGTTTTAGTGTTGACCAGGCTGGCAGGTAGGTACTGCTCTACCCTGTCTCAGCCTCCTGATAGTTTTTTTTAAATCCTTTTACCCTGTCTCCAGAACTGAATTTTCCTCACTGTTATGTTTTGTGTGCAGGTGGGTGTGCATGTATATGTGTCTATGTGGACACAGAGAGATCAGAGGTAAATCTAGAATGGCATCTTTGCCTTCTACCTGGTCTGAAACCGGATTTCTTTGTTATTTACCACCATCTATAGCTGGCCCTTCAGCTTGTATCTCCTCCTATGGGAATGGGATTATAGATGCACACAGTACACAGCCAGCTTGCGTCCTGGGGATTCAGACTCCAGTCCTCAGGCTTGCCTAGCAAGTGCTTTTTAGCTCCCCCCCCCAACCTATCTCCCTAACCCCATTTTGAATTTTTGAGGCAGTCTCTTTTGTGTGTGGCGGGGAGTATTTTGAGACAGAGTTTCGCTGTATAGCCCTGGCCATCCCAGAATTCACTGTAGACCAGGTTGGCCTCAAACTCACAGAGATCCACCTGCCTCTGCCTTTCAAGTTCTGGGATTAAAGACATGAGTTACTATGCCCGGCTCCATTTTTATTTAGTCATTTTTTAATTTTTATTTTTTCTAAAGACAGTGCCTTACTGTGTGTCTTAGGCTGGCCTTGACACATCATCCTCTGGCATGCCTCTTTCCAGTTCAAGAATTACAGGCATGCTCCATATTGCCCAGCTTTTTGTCATTTTCTGAGATTTATTTATGTTTACTTTATGTGTATGAGTGTTTTTCACACATGCATGCATGGTGCACAATGAGGGCAGAAGAGTGGATCTGATCCTTAAGAATTGAAGTTACAGATGCCTGTGGGTGCTGTGAATCAAACCCTGATCCTTTGGAAGAGCAGCCAGAGCCCATAACCAATGAGTCATGTCCAAGCTCCCATGTTTTATTACGTGTTTTGCTTTGTGACAGGATCTTGTTATGTAGACAAGCTTGTTTGTAAATCGCAGATATTCCTGCCTTGTCCTCTCAGTGCTGGAAGTAATGGCTAGGCATGGACCACCACACTCCATTTTCTGCTTTCTTTTCCTTTGAGTATATAATACAATTTTATAATTTTAGCGTTTCCTCCCCTCTCTGCCCTTAGGTCTTATCAAATGTCCCTCCTCCTCCCACTTTCTTTCCAGTTCATAGCTCTTTCTTTAATTAGGGTGGGTGTGGGTGTGGGTGGGTGTGTTCCTAAATACAAGCTGCTCATGTATATGTTTTCCAGACTGAGCATTTGAAGTTAGACAACAAATTAGTGTGACCATGGGGAAGACGTTTACTTCGACTCTCAGCATCCCCTTACTTGACTGCCGTTCATCATCTAGGGTTGAGGCTTGGTGAATTTTCCTCTGCTTTCTTTTCATTTTTTCTTTTGGAATACATTGTTTTATGTGTATGGGTGTTTTGCTTGCATGTAGTATCTGTGTATCACATGGATATAGTGCCTGACAAAGACTTGGATCTCCTGAACTAGAGTTACAGATGGTTGTTAGCGGCCATGTGGGTGTTGTGAGGTTAATCTGGTCCTCTAGACCAGCAAGTGGTCTTTTTTTTTTTTTTTTTTTTTTTTTTTGGTTTTTCGAGACGGGGTTTCTCTGTGTAGCTTTGTGCCTTTCCTGGAACTCACTTTGGAGACCAGGCTGGCCTCGAACTCACAGAGATCCGCCTGGCTCTGCCTCCGGAGTGCTGGGATTAAAGGCATGCGCTACCACCACCCTTTGGCTCAGCAAGTGGTTTTAACTGCTGAGCCATTTCTCCAGCCTTGAACCTACTTACTTAATCTTGTTGTAAAGAGGAGATTTTTTTTTTCTTTTTGTCTGACCCCACCCCTACACCCGTGGCTGTGGGACTGAATCCACAGCCTCATTCAGGCTAGGTAAATGCTCAACTCCTGAGATAATCCTAGTCCCAGTCCTATGTTTCTTTTTTGTTTTTTGAGACAGTCTCTCGGTAGCCCAGGCTGTTCTCAAATTCCCTACTTAACCTAAAATGACTTTGAGTACCCTGATCATCCTATTTCTTCAACCTTCCAAGTATTGTCCTGTCCTTGACCTCAACTGTATAGTGGAAGATGGTTTTGAACTTTGGATCCTCCTGCTTCCACTACGTGAGTTCTGGGATTACAGGCATGTGCCCCCATTCCCAGTTTATGTGGTACTGGTGATGGCTTCCAGGGCCGTACTGTGTGCTAGCCAAGCACTCCACCAATTGAGTTACATCCTAAGCCATCTCCACTTAGTTATTTTTATAAATACGAAACATGTTTAGACTTTGTCTGTTCTTGATCAGGGGACATGCTGATCTTGGTATCATTCCACATTTAGTCTATGTACAGGTGGATTAGGCAATCTGAACGTTTTGAGTGACCAGGCGAGAGGCTCATGCTGTTTTCTATGCACTCCGATCATTTTTGCTCTTGTGGCTTCATTTATTTTCTTACAGCCCATGACAATCTTCAATAAAGAAGAAACACAGTGAAGGACTATGTTAGAGGCACTCTGAGATGGCTCAAAATCCGTCCAATATAGCTCAAAACCAGGATAATGGTTTTGGTGAGATTTTTCCCTGGTTAATCATTGACACGACTTTACAAATGATTATTTTTCTTGCATGCTAGAAATTAGCCCTAGCGCCTTGAATATGCTAGATAAGTGCTCAACCAATGATTGATAGTTCCACCCCTGCATACCTTATTTGACAATATTACCTGACAGAAATAGTTTAAGGGAGGAAGGATTTTTTCTTTTCTTTTTTTTTTTCAGAGCTGAGGATCGAACCCAGGTCTTTGCACTTGCTAAGCAAGTGCTCTACCACTGAGCTAAATGCCCAACCCGGGAGGAAGGATTTTTATGTTATTTTTTTTAATTTATTTATTTTGTATGTGAGTATGCACATTGCATGGTGCACATGGACTTTGGGAAGTTGGTTTTCTACATTCACCATATGAATCCCAAGGATGGGAAAGCAAGTACTTTTCCCCAATGAGGCAACTTGCCAGCCCATGTAAGGATTTGTTTGGCTCACAGTTTCAGAAAACACAGTCCAACATAGTGGGCAATGGTTGATGCTTCCTCTACTGCTTTGGCAATTTTGGGTACTATTTCTTACATCTTGATGCAGAGAATGGGGGAAGTAGAAAGTCTGGGCTAGTACCCTCAAAGGTCTTCTTCCACTAACCTACTTCTCAAAAAAACACTACCGTAACCAAGTCATCCTTGGCTGGGGACCAAGTTTTCAAACACATGAGCCTGTGGGGACATTTTATCTTATTATATTGAATTTTTTTCTTTGATTATAACACTGTCCTGGTAGGTAAGTTAGGAACCATGCTTTGGATGATTTACCATGTCAGTCCCTATATTTGACTTTCAGGATTCTGAGGAGTAATGCGTCCGTGAATATCTCAGACGGAGACATGGACAAAGGAACAGGTATCTCACTCCATTAGGTAAGTGATAGTTGACAATGGAAGAAGCATTTTGCTGGCTCATGCCTGTAATGCCACCACTTGGGAGGCTGAGCCAGGAGGATCCAGGCAGGGCTGCATAGTTAAGACTCATCTCAACTGAAGAAAAGGAGTAAGGAAGGAAAAAAAATTACCCCTTTTCCCTTTGGCTATTTTGTGGTATTTGTTGTATTCAATAGCTTTTCTAAGACTGAGCTAGCCTTACATTTCTGGGAAAACTCTACTTCCCAAGGCTTCTGAATTCCGTCTGTTAAATTTGCTATTTTTAATTTTATTCTTTTTTTTTAAATTCATTAGTGTTTTATTTCCAATTTTGGGTGGGGAAGGTTGAAAGACTTGTCATTTGATGGAATCATTACTGATATGGATTTTGCCTGCTTTTTCAAACTAAGGAGATCTCAAACATATGCCATGCCATTAAATATGCTTTAATGGCATCATTTTTAAAATGGCACACAGTATCCACTGTATGAATAGAGGACATTAATTTACATTTGCAGTTTCGACTCATCTTAGTTACTGTTCTGCCTTCCTCCTTTTCTGAGCTGCAGATCGAATCCAGGACTGTTACAAGCTAGGCAAGCATACTTCTACTGAGCTACGCTCCTAGCCCAAACTGCTCTCTTAATTGTACTTATATAGAAAATGCTACAGTTAGCATCCTTGTAGGTCAATTGTTCAATATCATGCTTATCTCCTAAGATTTGAAGAAGTGTACAGTCCCTCTAATGAATATGACAGTAACCATTTTTCCACATTCCACATTGACTCTAGTAAGCCATATTAAGTGTTTTTTGAAAAAATTCACCAATTGCAAGATAAATGTAGTAGTTCGTGCCTATAATGCCAGAAATTGGAAGGCTGAGGCTGGAACATCACTGGAAGATGGAGTCCAGCATGTCCTATGTTATGTAATTCTGTTCTCCAAAATACCACAAACAAGAAAAGAAAAAAAATTTTTTTTTTTTACTGTTTGTGAAAGCAATTGATTCCTAATGAAATAAAACAGCCATAGTGTTTTTTGGCTCTTTGAGTTTTATTCCTTTTTTAAAAATTTTTTTGTTGTTTTTCGAAACAGGATTTCTTTGTGTAGCCCTGGCTGCCCGAGAAGTAGCTCTGTAGACCAGGCTGGCCTTGAATTCAGAGATTTACCTGCCTCTGCCTCCCAAGTGCTCGGGATGAAGGCATGTGCCACCAGGCCCAGCCTCCATTTATTTTGTAAATTATTCTCTTTATTGTTTGTATTTGTGAATGAGTTAGTGAGTACAGATGCTCACTTGTATGCAGTGTGTGCAGAGAGCAGAGGACAACATTCAAGAGGTTTTTTTTTCCCTTTTGTCTTACTGAGGCAGTTTCTCTTGTTTCTGCTGTTTGCTTGTCTTCATTTTTACTGCTGTGCACTCCAGGCTAGTTCGCTTGGGAGCTTCACGAAGTTTTACTGTCTGTACTTTTGGAGTGCTGGCTTTACAGATAGGTCCACTAACTCCATCTTTTTACATGGTTAGTGCCTTTAGCCACTGAGCCATCTCCTTGACCCTCCTTAACTTCTCTTGCAATGCATGGTCTCAAGCATGTTAGGCAATTTGAGTTTCCTTTTTGTTTGTTTGGTTTGGTTTGGTTTTTCAAGACAGAGTTTCTCTGTGTAGCCCAGGCTGCCCTGGAACTCGCTCTGTAGTCCTGGCTGGCATCGAACTCAGAGATTCACCAGCCTCTGCCTCATGAGTGCTGGGGTTGAAGACGTGTGCCACCACTGCCTGGCTATCAATTTGTGTTTCTTAGACTGAGTTGCAACTCTGTTTGATTTGTTTTTGTGAATTTGACTTTTTATTGGGGTTTAAGACATGGGATGGAAATGATCAGCTTTGGAGACAATTGTTTGCTTTTATTTGATGTTTTTGAGACAAGGTATCATAGCTTAGGGTGCCTTGGATCTCACTATGTATTCCATGCTGGCCACAAACTCATGGCAGTTCTCTCCTCTTAGTTTCTTAAGGGCTGGTATTAAGGCTTGAGCCACTAGGCTTGGTCCTATATTGAAATTTATTATCTCCTATTTCAGATATTTTGTGTGGCCTACCTTACAGATCCTTACGTGGCTAGCCCTAGTATCCTTTTCTTTGCGACTTCTTGCCTGTGTATTTAGATTTTTGTTTGCTTGTTTTTCTTTTTTATTTGAGGCAATGTTTTGCTACTTAGTCCAGTCCAACCTCAATTCATAATCCTTCTGCCTTCTCCTTCCAGGTACTAGGATTACAGGTATATGCCACTAATAATATGCCCAGTTTCCACTTAGTTTTTATAAGATGAACATAAGTATAATTTCCTGTAGTTTATAATCCATTTATTTTTGCAATTTTTATGTTGTTTTGGAATGGGTTCTTTTTAAATGACATTTTTATTAATTGTTTGAGAATTTCATATACTATATTTTGAACCTATTCTCCCTCCTACCCCAAAAAACAGGATGTTACATAACCCATGCTGGCCTTAAACTCAATGTGTAGCCTAGGATGACCTTGGATTTCTCATTCCTATTTCTACACTCTATGATTAAAGGCCCAGGGCTATTTTTTCACTTCAATGGTTCTGGGCATCGAACACAGGGCCTCGTGAACTACTAAGTTTGTACATGCTAGTGAAACAGCAGTCTGCCCTTGAGCTCCACATATTTACCCTCTCTTGACATTTTCTTTTGAGATGAGATCTCACTGAGGTGCCCAGGCTCTTATTAAACTCACTCTACTATAGCCCAGGCACTCCTTGAAAATTGGAATTGTCCTAATTTAGCCTCAACCCCACTCCCCGTGCCTGGAATTGTAATGTGTGCCATGGGGCTGGAGAGATGGCTTAGAGGTTAAGAGCCCTGGCTGCTCTTCCAGAGGTCCTGAGTTCAAGTCCCAGCAACCACATAGTGGCTCACAACCATCTAGAATGTGATCTGGTGCCTTCTTCTGGTGTGCAGACAGAACACTGTGTACAAAATAAATAAATCAAAAAAAAAATGTGTGCCATGATTTGTGACTTATTTCTGGATTTGGTGTATAGTTTTCTTATTTATTTTATTATTATTATTTGTTTTGGGTTTTTTGTTTTTTTTGTTTTTTTTTTGTTTTGGTTTGGTTTTTCGAGACACGGCTTTTCTGTGTAGTCCTGGCTGTCCTGGAACTCACTCTGTAGAGCAGGCTGGCCCTTGAAGTCATAGAGATCTGCCTGCCTCTGTCTCCCAAGTGCTGGGATTAAAGGCGTGCGATACCACTGCCCAGTGTCATTTTCTTTTTTAAAATGTTTATTTATATTAGTTGTTTTCCTACATATATGTGTGCACACCTCAGGGGTGCCTGGTACTTTGGAGGCCAGAAGAGGGTGTTGGATTCCTTGGAACTGGAGGAGCTATAGATAGTTGTGAGCCTCCATATGGGTGCTAGGAATTGACTCAAATCCTCTGAAAGAGCTGACAGTGCTCTTACCTTGTGAGCTATCTCTCCACCCCGTGCCCCCCCCCCCATAATTAGTTATCTTAATGTCTAGCACATTCAGGGTTGGGAGGTGCACTAAGGGTATTTGTGAGGACCTCAGTAGTACTGAGTTTCAGAATCTCTCCAGTGTTCTGCTTCTAACATAATATACTGTTCTCCCAGCTCCTCTTTCTTTGGATTGTCTGCTCAGCTTTGCTACCACTGGCTTATGCTTTCATGGGCATTTGCAAAGTTTTCATATTAGGTATTATAGTTTCATTTTTATGGGCTGTATGGGTTTTGCTGTTGTGGCACAAAAACAAATATAGGCGGTGCATAAACACGTAAGTCCATTTGTGTTCCAAAAAAACTTTTATAAAAAGCTTTATTATATATTTTATAAAAAGCTTTATTATATATATATATATATATATATATATATTTTTTTTTTTTTTTTTGGTTTTTCGAGACAGGGTTTCTCTGTGTAGCTTTGCGCCTTTCCTGGATCTCGCGCTATAGACCAGGCTGGCCTCGAACTCACAGAGATCTGCCTGGCTCTGCCTCCCGAGTGCTGGGATTAAAGGCGTGCGCCACCACCGCCTGGCCTTTATTATATATTTTATAACAGCTTTATTGGTGTGGAGGCTGCAGTTTGCCCACACCTGTTTTACTACGTTTTGCTCTTATAACCTGTATTTCTGTTTCCAATGTTCATGACTCTGATTCTCTGCTATAACTTTCTTTAAGATACATTTATTTTCTGTGAGTGTTTTGCCTACATGTATGTAAGTGTATCACATGTGTGCAGTGCCCTCAGAGGTCAGAAAAGGGGTGTTAGGCACCTACCACTGGAATTACAGAACCTGGGTTCTTTGTAAGAACAGAAAGTGCTCTTAACTGCTGAGCCATGTCTCCAGCCCCACCTTTGTAAAATGTTGGAAGTTTTTTGTTTGTTCATTTGTTTTCATTGTTGTTTGTTTTCTTTTCTGAGGCTCTGGCTCTTTAGCCCAGGCCTAGAACTCACTGGGTAGCTCGGGTTGATTCGAAACCTGCAGTGATTCTCAAGACTCCACCAGAATTAGAGATGTTACTGTTCTCAAATGACATGCGTTTAGCTCTTCAGTTTTTCCCTCCAGTTTGTGGCTACTGATGACCTGTTTCCATATCACAGGGTTTCTCTTTGTTTCTTTCAGAGAACACAGGTCTTAGCTAACTAACCTCGGGAGTTCCGGTGTCATTAGTGGCCTGTACTGTGTTGTGGAAGTGATTGATTGTATTACTTCAGTATAATTCCAAGTAGCTGTATTCCTTCTGCCGTAGTTTGCTTACTCTGAGAGTGATAAATCATGGTCCAAAAAAACTTGGCGAAGGAAAGCGTTTATCTAACTTACATGCCATAGACTAAAGCCGAGGTAGGAAATTAAGAGACCATGGAGGAATGCTAACTGGCTTGTTCCCCTGCATTGCTCTGCTATCTTTCTCCTACAGCCCAGGCTCACCTGCCCAGCAGTGGCACGACTAATGGGCTCTGGCCCTGTGCATCACTCGGCAATCAAGAGAATTCCCTCAGATATGGCCACAGGCCAGTCCAATGGAGACAGTTGCTCAATTAAGGTGCCATCTTCCCAGGTGTGATTAAAAACCAAAATTACCTATCACCATTTGAAAGGGTATTCCTCTCACTCCATATGTCACTGTAGGAGCAGGCTTAAGTTTCTGAAATTTGTCTCTTATGTAGTATCATGACTTTCAGCTTGTCTCTGGTTCTCTGTGCATGTCACCTTGCCTCTGCTGCCGACAGGTGTCGTCATACTGTCTCCTTAAGATCTTACCTCCATGTGAAGGTTTTTCCTTCACTCCTCACTGGAGCTTTTTTTGTGATCTATGGGCATGGCCTTCTTGTTCCTGCGTCTTTCTCTGTCTAGACTGTGCTTTAGCTCTCATTGCTGTCCAGTGTCTTCAGTTGTTCAAACTGATTCCTCAAGGCTTGTGATGTTCCCTGAGACCGTGGCTATGGCGATTCCTATTTGTCAGGTCTCGGCCATTTTCTACAGTTGTTTGTTATGTGTGAATGTCTTTTCTCCCTGTGTATAAATCAAACTTGCTTCATCCTAAAACAGTCCAGTTAATGTAAGTATAACTAATATTATTGAATTGCTTTAAAACCTGAAAGGCAACCCAGCCTCGGGGTGGTGTCATATCTGACTGTCTTTGGACCTTGACAGCCTCACAGATAGCTCTGCAACCCTGTTCTCCTAGCATTGTCTCGCTTTCCCCCTGCTGCTAACTCACTTCCTCATCCTTTTTACCCTACTGTAGACGAATAGTTTCTGCTGATTTATAGCTCTTGAGTCATTCCTTTGCAAATTGGTTCATAACTTGATCTGAACCCTTTCATGATTCTTCCATGGAGTGTAGTGTTTGTTTTCTTTCATATATCCATTTACTCCATTAGCTGACTTTTGTTTCTTTCTTTTTGTCTACTTTGTTTTTGAGACATAGCATCCTGGAACATAAGCTGGCATCAAAGTTGCTTTGGTAGGTGAGGCTAGCCTTACATTCCTGATCCTCATGTCTCTGCCTCCCAAAGATGAGATACAAGTGTATACCACCATACCTAACTTGTGTGCATTTATTTATTCACTGATGCTAAGGATTAAACCTAGGGTCTCACACACGCTAGACAAGTGTTCTCCCATTGAGCTGTATTGCAAGTCTTTGTGTTTTGCAACTTTAAATTATATAGAATTTTGTCACCTTGTCCTTGTTAGAGGAAAATTTTGTGGTATGAAAAGTCTTGGGCTGTTGACCAGCTTATGGGTACATGTCCTAATGTCCTTGAATCTGATCCCTTTTTTTGGGAGGGAGGGTGTGGGGTTGTCTAACCAGTTGTGGGTTTAGTGTATACATAGTTAGCTACAAGAATGGTTTCTTTAGCCATGCTTATTTGATTGTTTTTTCAAATTTCTTTAAAAAGAATTTGGGCATGGGTAGGAGTGATATTGTTTGTTGAATTCTGAATTGAATTTAAAACTTTCTGTTGCAGCAATTTTCACATCTCTCAAAGATTCACTTTCTAGTGAACATAAGTTGTTATTGTTTGTTTGATTTTACTTTGTTTTAAATATGGTTCCTCCATCTTGTGTTCCTGCTGAGGGCATTCCAGGTTTAAGTAGAATTTGACTTCCTTGATGGAAAATCTTATGGAAAACTACCCAACTCTATTCTAGAAACCCAAGGTCAGGATGTCCTAGGTAACTTATCTTACCTTCTGTTAAACTGTTTGTGCAGGAACCCCTTCAAGGTAACTGCTTATCTTAGTGACTGTTAAACTGCCTGCCTTTTGCTGGACCCCTCCAGGTAATGACTTATCTTAGAGAATGCCTGCCTTTTGCCGGAACCCTCCAGGTAATGGCTTATCTTAAGAGACCACCTGACTCTGCAGGACCCCCTCCAGGTAATGGCTTATCTTAGTGACTGCCTGAATCTGCAGGACCCCCTCCTGGAATGGCTTATCTTAGTGACTCCCTGGATCTGCAGGACCCCCTCCTTCAATGGCTTATCTTAGTGAATGCCTGACTCTGCAGGACCCCCTCCAGGTAATAGTTTATCTTCGTGACTGCCTGAATCTGCAGGACCCCTTCCTGGTAATGGCTTATCTTAATGACTCCCTGCCTCTGCAGGAACCTCTGTGGGTAAGCTTATCTTAGTGACTCACTGCCTCTGCAGGATTCCCTCCAGGTAATGGCTTATCTTAGTGACTTCCTGCCTCTTCAGGACCCCTCCAGGTAACAGCTTATTTTAGTGACTTTTTTAACTGCCTGCTTCTGTGAACTCCCCCTGTAGCTGCCAACTGAGATGATGCCAGAACATGGATTTTGCTTTCAAAAACTTTGTGCTCTGGACACTCAGGGCTTTTCCTAGGTGCCCAAATACTTGGGTATTGTCCCAGCCAACGACAATGAAGACTTTCATTTGACTATAAACTCTTTGAGTGGTCATCTCTAGGAGGCTACTGCAATCAGCTGCTCACCAAGTGTGCATAGTCGGGTCTCCTTTCTCTTCTTCATTCCATGGCAAAAATCTAGGAATTTTCTTTTTTTCTATTTTAAGATTTATTTATTTATTATATATAGTGTTCTGCCTGCTTGTGTTCTTGTAGGCCAGAAGAGGGCACCAGATCTAATTGCAGGTGGTTGTGAGCAACCATGTGGTTCTGGAGGACCTCTGGAAGAGCAGTCAGTGCTCTTAACTACTGAGCCATCTCTCCAGCCCCCGATCTTATTTTTTTTAATGTTCTTTAGGACTATCAGAAAATGAGTCTAAATTTCCACTGTGATGAACTTTGTAACTCAACTGGTAGAGCACTTGCCCAGTGTCTGTGAAAGACCTGGGTTCAATGCAACACTCTGGGATGGGTCAGCCAAAAAGAAAGATAGGAATGTTTTGGAGACACTTTCTTTCCTTTTCTTTCCTCTTTTTCTTCTTTCTTTTCCATCTTTGTTTTCTTTCTTTTTTTCTAGGACCTCTCTGTATATCCCTGTCTATCACGGAAATCACTCCATAATTCTTACTGGCTTTCAACTCTCAGTCATTTTCTGCCCATGCTTTCTGGGTGCTGCGATTATAGATGTGTGCCACTATGCACACCTTAGTAGCTCAGACTTCCAAAATTGTCAGGAAAAAAAGGATTTTCCAAAAGTTCCTAACCAATTTGTTAAACCATGGCTCCACTGGGAGGCTACCCCGCTTTGTTTTGTTTTGCTTTATGTTTTGGAGCTGGGGTTTTACTACATCACCCATGCTGGTCTGAAACGCAGGAGAATCCGCCTGCCTTTGCCTCCTGACTGATGGGATTTGCAGACCTGAGCCATTATGAGCTCTGTTGTCCTTCTTGGTATTGCTTCCTCGGTATAACTGCTCTGCTGAGCTCACCTAATGACAGGTTTTTGGCAGTCCTGCTGTAGGAAGGTCATGGTGACTGGGATAACATGCAGTTGCAGGTGTAAGGGTACCTGGATATGGTAATGCCACTTAGGGATGGTAGTTGGTTCAGACACAGTCGAGGAAACCGAGCATCAGGAGTACATGTTCATGCTGGCCTGTGCCGTTGATGTAGCTAGCTGAGCTACCCTGTCTCTGCTTAGTGTTTGTGTTTTATGCCTCCGACTAGGAACCAGCTCTCCTATCCACGTCTGTGTTTCTCTAGTTCATATATTTGGCCAGCTTTCCTCTTGCTTCTTCTTTCTCTTGATTTGCTTCCTTGTGCTTTCTCATTAGCTTAGGCCCTCATGGCCTCATCTTTGTGTTGCGTGCTGGCTTGCAATGCATCCTTTTCCTTCACCTCCGTTCACTGATTCCTTTAAATAGCCCAGTTCCAATAACTGAGAACTCAAATTGCTAGACCTGCCCAGTTCTAGTTTAGCTTTGTTTATATGATGATGCCTCTACTTTTATTCTGCTTGTTTCTTCCGTTTTCTATTGTACAGTTAACAACTGACTTCTCCCATCCTCTGTTTCAGGGGTTTCAGTTGCAAATGGCTGCAGGATCCAGATGGGGTACATGTGTGAGATGGTTCCTGGTATTCACTGTCTTCCTTTTCCTTGAAAAGCTGGTTTTTGTGTTTTCCCTTTGCCATTCTTTAATTTATCGTGAAGATTAATGGATGCCAAGAGACAAGTGATTCTAAGAGGATGGAGAGTGTTTGAAACCCTGACCAACCTAAATGTGCAAAACACATCTAAAGGGAAAGGCTAGACTAGTGCTTGGCTAGTGCTAATGTCTGGTAAGGTCGATCCAAGTTTGCCAGAATATCTGGCTCTACAAGGAAATATGAATAGCTTGAAAGGATTTTTGCTTCCAGTATTTTCAGGACAACAGAGTTATGTTTATAGCTGCTTTAATAATCTCACAGCCTCCGCTTCTTTGTAATTGTATCATTGTCATGTTACTGTATTCTTATGTTATGAAATAAGGGGATGTAGAACAATTGCTGTCCAATTCAGGTTGAAGGCTGGTAGGTTCCTTTGGGCAGAGGTCAGAACTACTGGACCACAGTTGTGAATGTATTTGAGTAAGTTAGAATGAAATAATCTAGGAAAGAAAAGATCATTATACGTACATAAAAACAAGAAAACAGTAGCCTCCATTGGGTTACTAAGAATAAATATTATTGTAAATTTTTTTGTCCTAGCTATATGTTTGTGTATCTTTCATTTAGTGTAATTGTTTTCCCTACTGTGGGTTAATTTCCTTTACTAGATACTCAATGAAATGCCATGAACAAACTATCATTTCCTGTAGACACGTCTTCTTAGCAATACAATATTGGTTTAAAGTCAAGTGACATTTAATGTTTACCATACTGTATGGTAAGCTGTTTTCCTTTTTCATGTTACTTACCCAGCTATTTAAGACTTTTAATTTTTTTCTGCGGGGTATGTGTGTGTGTGTGCGCGCGCGCGCACGCGTATTTATCTTTCCATGTGTATTGGTGTGTCTGTTGATATCATTGTCTTCCTCAAATACTCACCACCTTATAATTGAAGCAGAGTCTCCGTGAACCCAGAAGCCTCCAGTTTGGCTAGTCTAGGTAGACAGCTTGTTCTGGGCAATCCCTGTTTCTACCTCACAAGCACTTGGGTCACAAGTGAGCTATTATGCCCACACTATCCAACATTCAGCTTGTGCTAGGGATCCTAACCTGGGTTCTTCAATTTTCACCGACTGTGCTGTGCCACTGAGCCCTCTCTTCAGCCCCAGGTTGTTACTGCTTTACTTTGTTCATTAGACGGGAGGGAGGGGAGACAGGGAGGGGAGGAACGCGTACGAGGGAGATGTTGATTTGTTTTTTGTGTGCCCGTGTGGAGGGGCCATAGCAGGCTCCTTGAGGTCAGAGGACATCATGCAGAGTCTGTTCTCGCCACCTTGTACATATTGGGGGTTGAGCTCAGGTTGTCATGTGCTTTGGCAGGTCCCTTTACCTGCTGAGTCATCTTCACTGCCCCCATAGGTTTGGTTTTTTTGGTAGTTTTTTTTTTCCTTCCTGTGGTTCTAAGATAAGAACCCAGGACCATGTACCAAGTGTAAGCTAGGCAAACATTCTATTACTGACTTGGCTACATGCATCCATGCCTACTGGGAATTAAAAGTGCTAGGTACTTGGCGGTGGTGGCGCACGCCTTTAATCCCAGCACTTGGGAGACAGAGGCAGGTGGATCTTTGTGAGTTCGAGGCCAGCCTGGTCTACAGAGCAAGATCCAGGAAAGGCACAAAGCCACACAAAGAAACTCTGTCTCGGGGGGAAAAATGCTAGGTAAGTGCTTTGTGAGCCATGGCCTTAAGCCCTCTTTTAAGTTCCCCAGGTTGGCCTTGGTCTTGAAGTGTTTCTGCCTCAGCCATCTGAGTAGCAAGAATTATGGCCATACGCAATCAGCCCTCTCCAAAATCCTCGTTAATAATTGTTGAGACAGGCCCTTTCTGTGTAGCTCGGGCTGGCCTAGAACACAATCCTCCTGTCTCTTTTTGAAGGCTGGTGTGCCAAGGCTAACTCACATAAGTCATTTTAAGTATATGGTGTTTCTCAAGAATTTAACTAGAAGTTCGTCAGCCCTCTCACAGATAGTAAAGGATAGGGATCATTGAGAACTCCATTGATAATTTACCATCACTGAAAAAGTTTTCTCATTCATAAGTCCACTGTAAGCAGCCAATGCTGTGTTGCTCAATGTTTCAGGTAGATTTGTAAGTTGCCTTGGTATTAAAGTCTTGTGATAGTGCTCCTAATCTGTTTCAGCTGCATTTTGCTGAGCTTTCCACATCACTTCCTGTCTAACTTTATTTCATTATGTACCCAAGTCCTAATTAATATTTGAGGTGAAGTCTGATGGTATATTTCAATTCTGTTTCTAGGGGCTGTGCCCCATTGCAGGGTATATATATCTCTGGCTGCATTCCTCTGAATGTTAATAGTTGACTCCACGATGTGGCAGCTAAAAATGTCCCTATATTTGGCAGGAGGGAGACTTAACCCTGCAGCCTGAGGAGGTCCCTTTCTACTTAGAGAATGTTACGAAGGTAAACCTGGATGCTTGAGTTTCAGGGTGAGCACAGTGAAGCAAAGTTAGCAAGCTTATTAAGTATTTAAGCTCATGGGGTGGTGGGGGAAAATACAGTACATAATCTCAAGGCCTCTTGAGAGTTGAGATTAGATATATTTACAATGTCTACGTATATCTCCTGGGGCTTTTGAAACTACATGTCACAAAGGATTACAATAAGAATTAAAGATTAATCAAAGCTTAAACTTTCAAGTTTAAACGTTTAGTAAGAGTATTTGAGCTGGTTTACTTATTTCCAATCTTCGAGAATTTTCTTTTGTAAGTAAAATTGTAATGTGGCCTTATGTGGTAAGGGAGTGTTGATTCATCCTTTGAGTTCCTGCTTAAGGTGATGTCATGGGGTAATCAATCTGGCTCTCAGGACAAAGACCTGAGACAGACTTTCAGGCACCATTCAGGGGTCTGGCACAGGGCATTATAAAAGCTGACAATGAAATTCCTTAGTCTTATCTTTGTGCTTTGAGTCTTAAAGATAAGATAGGTTAGGCATCTCCAGATTTTAAATAGTCATGGATGATTAACATCAGCCATCTAATCAAAAGAGAAGAAAACAGAAACTAAAGGCAGAGATTTCAAGGTTCTGTCCTTGTTTTAGTGACCTCTGGACCAAGGTGAGCACAAGAGCCATTCCTTTTAGCAAAATAAATTCCAAGTCCTTGTTACCAAAAAGCAATGCATGGTATTTCATTACATAGAGTCAATATATTAAAAGATATTACATGTATTGGTTAACATATAGACGAGCAGGTACACACTCAAATTTTTTTTAAATAAAAGGCACATGACCATCTTTTCAGTTTGCCAATTCTTTGTTTTTTTAATGATTTATTTAGGTTTTTTTAATTTGCGTTGGTGTTTTACCTGCTTGTATGTCTATGCGATGATGTCAGATCTTGGAGTTATAGACAGTTGTTTGCTGCCGTGTGGGTGCTGGGAGTTGAACCAGGATCCTCTGCAAGAACACCTGGTACTCTTAACCACTGATCATTCTCTCCAACCCCCAGACGGCCAATTCTGAGTCTCTGAGTTCAACTGTCTGTTGTATCACATTTGTTTATTTATTTACTTTGTATAATCTGTGGGTAAAGACAGTTTTGCCTTTTTATTGCTTGAAAAAAGCCAAAATATTATTTCATAACACATAGGAATTAGAAATTCACATTTCAATGCCTGTCAGTTAAAATAATATTTTATCAGAGCTTAGCCACTCATACATTGAATATACTGTGGTTGCTCTTAAGCTACTATATAGGAGAATACGGAGTAACTGAGACCCCAGAGACCTGCAAAAGCCTCAAACAGTGCTCATTGACTAAACTGCCATGTGATTCTGTATTGTTTTTAGTAGCTTTAAATGCCAGGGTTGAGACTTCGTTATTGGCCAACAAAATGGTCCTCATTCTATTACACTGAGAGCAAAGGAGACCACATTTCTTTACTCCCAACTGTTCCCCGTAGGCTGCCAGGACCTAACCCTCTAAATTCCAAATTGCTTGCTGGATTTAGAGAAAAGCCTCTATGAATTTTTGACTCTGGGTGGTTATTGCCTCAGAATTTTGGCTCTATCTTAGGTTTTTCCACTCTGTCAAGTTTTTGTGCTATACAGTCGGTTCCCCCCACTTTTTTTTCTTGTTTTGTTGTTGTTGTTTTTGTTTTGTTTTGTTTTGTTTTTATAAGGAATTTCTCTGTGTAACAGCTCTGGCTGTCCTGAAAGACCAGGGTAGCCTCAAACGCAGAGTCCAGTACTGTTTCTGGCCTCCCCAGTGCTGGTGCTAAAGACGTGCGCCTCCACCACCCAGTTAGGGCTTGAATTCTTTTTTTTTTTTTTTTTTTAAGATTCATTTATTTATTTATTATGTATACAGTGTTCTGTCTGCACATATCCCTGCAGGCCAGAAGAAGGTGCCAGATCTCATTACAGATGGTTGTGAGCCACCATGTGGTTGCTGGGAATTGAACTCAGGACCTTTGGAAGAGCAAGCAGTGCTCTTAACCTCTGAGCCATATCTCCAGCCCCCAGGACTTGAATTCTTAAATGCTGGCAATCCAAGCATAGCACCACTGACCCCAGCAATCGAGCCTGTTAACTCAGTCACTGTTGGATTGTTGGCAGGGAAGGTCTTAGACGTGAGATACTTCGACAAACGAAAAGAACATAAAACTAATACAATCTTGGTTGACAGTTTAAGTAATATGAACATATGACCTGAGTTCTGTATGGGATTTCATTGACCTAGGATGATTCCTCTGTCATTAGAGTAAATCTGTGCATCCCAAGTAGTTCAGTTTGTTTGTTTGTTTGTCTATTTATTTATTTATTTTTGGTTTTTCGAGACAGGGTTTCTCTGTGTAGCTTTGTGCCTGTCCTGGACCTAGCTCTGTAGCCCAGGCTGGCCTCAAACTCAGAGATCCGCCCGCCTCTGCCTCCCAAGTGCTGGGATTAAAGGCGTGCGCCACCACCGCCTGGCTTCTCGTAGTTCAGTTTAAAGTAATTTATTTCTGCTTCAGTTCGTATTTGTATGTGTATTTGCATATGTGTTGGAGTGAGCTTTCATGTTTATGCAGTCCTGAGGTTCAAAGTCTGCTGGGATAGGGGTTTTTTAATCTAGATTTTACTGATCCACCTTTGTTGGCCGAGCTAGCTAGCCCCAGGGATCCTTTGTTTTCCACCTCACAGCCCGGAGTTCTTTCCTTGGTTTTTTCATGCGCTCTGGGGATCCAGAGGCAGATCCTGATTCGTGAAAGGTAGGACCAACTGAGCCATCCCTCTCTGAAGGATCTCAGGTTTGCAGTTCAAGAGGGACACAGACAAATTGTCCTTTTAGGTAAGACATTTGTTAATGTTACATACAAAAGGCAGCCAGGGCTCTAAGGAGAGTTTATGCCCCAGCAATAAACAACATGGCCAGGCCTGTGAGGAGAGCTAAGGTTCTTGAGGCAGACAAGGGATCTCTCCTTCAAGTTCCCAGGAAGACCTATGTCATGTATTCTTGTCTAAGCATTTGGGGAAGCGGAGAGGAGAAACATCTTGAGTTAAAGAATTCACATTCTGGTGGCCCTGATATATTAAAGTCTCGTAATTTGAGCCTAGAATCAAAATTGGGAAGTGGAAAGGCATTTTTTTTTATAAGTGCGTACCTCCATTCCCATGGAATCCCTATACTTGGAGAGAATGTTCTGGGTTACAGATTCACGAACAGGCTGTGTATAGGATGCTTACCATTTCATACAGCAGCTGTAAGGGTACCGGGACAAAGAACCTATTGCAGGGAGATATGACCTAACTGCTTAAATCTGGCTGATCCACAGTAGGTGCCCAGTAAAGTTGAATTAATGAGTCTCTTGCCGTGACTATTAATATTATATGAATCATCTCTTAAATATAGTTTTTTATGTTACAAGTGTAACATGTTTACATCATTCAGTTGCGTTGGGAGGCAGATGTCCATGCAGGTCAGAAGAGGGTATCGGTTCCCCTGAGACTAGAGGTATAGATGATTGTGAGTCACTATGTGGATCCTGGGAAATGAACCCAGATCATCTGGAAGAGTAGCCCGTGCTCTTAACTACTGAGCCATTTCTCCATCCCTTGATAATGTGTGTTTACTTTTATTTGTTTTTGTGTTTTTGAAACAGAATCTTGCTATAGCCTGTGCTGACTTTCTACTCAGTATGTAGCCCAGGTTGGCCTCAATTTCACAGTGATCTTCCTGCCTCTCAGCCTTCTTGAGTGATGGGATTACATGTAGGTGCATATCATGATAGCCAGCTTTGGAAACATTTTTAGGGTCCTATTGTCAGGAATATTTACAAGCTTGTAACAAACACATGCACTTCTGAGATTAAAGTAGCAGATCCAGAGATGAGCTACATAAGTTTGAGCTGCATGAGATCTTGTCTCAATCAGTCCCTTCCCAAAAACCCACAAAACAAAACAAAACGTAAAAAGTTTAGCATGTTCTTATGTTTCGGTTTGAATACATACAAATCTATCATTGGACAAACATAATCTTCTCAGTATAATTTGTAACTTATAAATCTTAATAGTACCAAACAGAGTACCCTCCAGAGCAGACCTTAAATCGCCTCAAAACGTTTAGCCTACCACACATAAGATTGTACCACTATTATATCCGTGGTAATTACCATTTTGGTCATTTTAGTTTATAGAGGTCATAACTGGGTTCATAACTTTTCCCCGTAACAGCCTACATAGCACCCACCAGTACTATGAAAGTTAGGCAACAGGAATGAAGCTTTTTGGTCAGTACATTTTATAAACAGTATGTGTGGTGTCTTCAGCAATAGGTATACAGCAATCCCACTCCCCAAGACACGGTTTCTCTGTGTAACAGCCCTAGTCCTGGAACTCACTTTGTTGAGAAGGTTGGCCTCGAACTGAGAGATCTGCCTGCATCTGCCTTCTCATTGCTAGGATTTAAGTATGCACCACCATTGTCCGACAGGTATACATTTTTTTAAACAGTATTTTGATAACAATGGGTAACTTTTTGTGATGGTATATGAGTAGCCTAGGGTCAAAGTATGCTATAAATGCTCTCTTGCACTATTTAACATCCCTGGCCTTTAGAGAGTAAATTCTAATATGTCTCTTTCTGATGGGCAGTTGATGTTACTCACGCTCAGAAGCATTGCTCTCAAATATCCCAGAAACTTAGTCATGCTAAGCTTGGAAATAATAGTGAGGTCCCTTGGGACTTTTCGGGAATATTAGTAAGTAGGGAATGTCAAACTTTCTGGCTTGTCTATAGTACTTGTCTAGTAAGATCCCGAGTCTGACCACAGTACTGGTAGGAACTCTGGGAGGACTAAGTTTACTAGCTCTGCAAAGGGCTAATGAGTGCTCCTATCACTTTAGCATGGTTCAAGGTGAACACGCCTTTCTGAGTGGAAGGTCCTTGACCAACTATTTGACTCTGCCCATCTGGATTAGTTTGTATGGGAGGGGAGAATGGAATGCCTGCACCTCGAGGTAAATGCCATTCTTTTGGCTGAGAGATAATAGCCTTCCTTTAATACGCTTTTAATGTCACTGTAAAATTACTGCTATTATATTTTATTAGAAAGTCATCAAACTAGTTAAGTGCAGAATTCAGTCAAAGAGTACCTTCTGGTAACAGTAGATGCCATTTCTGAACCTTAGCCTAATCTAATAGAGAACTCCCTTTACTAGGAAGCCAAGCATTTCTGGAGAACAGCATGTTTACTTAAACATTTTAAAAGTTATGGTTTTTTTTTTGGTTTTTTTTTGTTTTTGTTTTTTTGCCTGATCATGTTACAGAGGTGTTAGAGGATAAATAGGTAGGTGTCTGTTCTTTCAACATATGGATCGTGGGGATCAAACTTGGCAGCACACATATTACCCACTGAACAGTCTTACCAGGCAAGTTTACTTACTTAAAAATATGATCCCCCTACTTACGAGTTCAGCATCTCTGCCCAGCTAGTGTTGCAGCTGTCAGGAGCAAGAAAAACTGGCCTCTTGGTTTTTGGCTAGATCACCGCCCAGCTTTTTCTTTTTCAGGTTTGCCTTTTGATCCATTATAAAACTACCAAGACAAAGATTCTTTATAGCAAGTGCCATCAATCAAGCCCTACATGGTTTTTCTAGGTCCAGTCCCCCTAGATCTTCAACTTCCTTTTAACATTTTAGCTTTTCTCTACATAACATTCTTTTTCTCTTTCTCTATGGCAGTCATTCTCAATGTGTGGGTCAAGAACCCTCCTTTATGGGTCGCCTAAGACCATCAGAAAACAGATATTTACATTATGATTCATTACAGTAGCAAACTTAGAGTTTTGAAGTAGTAATGAAAGTTATTTTAAGGTTGGGTGTCACCACAACATGAGAATTGTATTAAAGAATTGCAGTCCTAAAAGTCACTACGATTTACCCTGCCCCCTGAGCCATTCCACATATGAGGCTTGTTGCATGGTTACTCAGCCATTTGACCTTTAATGTACTCTGGAAGCAAAACTTGGGCACAATCTGGGAGCTTTCTTTACTTAAAAGATACAAAGTGGTCCCCCAAATGACGGCTTGGTGTTAGACTTACTTACCCTCAGGGCAGCCTGTTGTGTCTTAGGAAGCCACATCTTTTTGGCCATTGCTGACCTCCACAGTCTTAACACAAGGGTAAGTGGTTTGAGAAAAGGGACACAGATCCTTATATAGAGTGTCTGCTCAATACAGAGTTCTCAGAGTAGGACCCATTGATTTTTAGGTATGAGCATATCTTAACTATGGTTGCCATAATCGGGCTCCTTTCTATCTGTGAGCTGACTCAAAACTAAAGCAAGCAGTATTAGTACTAGCTTGATTAATAGCTTGGCTTCTCATCTATTGCAGAGCAAAATGGAAATTCTAGGAGAGGAATAGTAAACTAGTATTCAGGAATTCTGTTCCGAAGTTGATGGGTACAAGAGATAGGTAGTTGTCGGGTCCTTGACGGTTTGGGATAAGAGGTTAAGAACATCAATTTGATATATTTTTCAAAGAAGAAAAAGGCTGCATAGTACTTCAAAGAGCTAACAATCTAAGAAGAGTGTACCCTCAGCAACTACTAGTACCAGTCCTTATCTAGCTTACTGACTGACCTTTCGAGTGTTGAGTGTGTAGTTAGCCATCACTTATGGCGTAGCAAGTTGACTTTAAAGACTAGTTTTCTCTTCACAATTAAGAATATTCTTTTAAGAAGTTAACTAACACCTTATTTGTTCCTCAGGGATAAAATTCTAAGTTAACCATTAGTCATTTATGTGTGCTGGTGAAATTTCAAGTTTCTCTTGTTCAGAAACTAGAGAAGGTCTTTTTCACATGACTGTAGTTTTCACTCGTCTCTGCGACGTAAGCACGGGGAGTTGTTTATACAAGTGCTATTATCTGTGTTTTCCTTGGAGACTTGCTGTACCCTGCCTTTTAAATTAGAGGAGTAGTATATATTCTGAAGGACACGGTTTGTGCTTGCACTTGAAATTAGGTGGACTAAGAAAACCAATAACGTTAGGTGTAGACAAGATAATATGATAATTCGATGGTTTTATTTTCACAACGGAGCTTGTGGGCATTAACATTATTTATGAAAGATTTGTTTTTTGTTTGTTTTTTCTAGACAGGGTTTCTCTGTGTAGCTTTGCTCATTTCCTGGAACTCACTCAGTAGCGCAGGCTTGCCTCAAACTCCGACATCCTCCTGGCTCTGCCTCCCGAGTGCTGGGATTAAAGGCGTGAGCCACCACCACCCTGCAAGATTTGTAATGAAGAAACTAAAGAATACTCTTGTCATCAGGAGGAGGAATGAGCCTGAATGTAGTAGTGTCCTTTACTTTCCTAATCCATGTTAGAAAAGTTCGTGATAACACCAAGGAAGGTAAATTTTTTGTCACTGTCATGTAGAATGGCTAAAATGAATTGTATTCCTCACACAATATTCAGTTATGACCTTGGAGATGAGGTGCTTAGTGGTGCCTATTTTTTTATGACCCTGAATGTATCCATTGTACTTACTCACATCCCAGTATCATCACATTAAAAGGCATACAGGAAAAGAATGATATGTTGTACTTTAATCTTGAGAAGTAGCAATGTTATAATAGAAGATTATTCCACGTTGTCCATTCCTCTACATGCACTCACACGTTACATACTCAAGATTAAATAATAATAATTTTTAAAATATAGCATGATTTGGCATAATGATAAATTCATGTTACCTCTGCTTTCAAGTACTTGAGGCAGGTGAATTGCCCCCTTCTTGATTTTTAAATTCAGATTCCAGCACCTAGGGGACCTAAAAAAGTGCTAGGTTATGGAAGGGCCAGGTATACAAGAGGACACCAAGAACTACTGATAACTAAGGAGTTTATTAGATGCGTTATTAATGCCATGGAAATAGAGACAATGAAGCGATACATGTTGACCTGCTTCCCACAGCATACTGAGAAGCATTTAGTTCCCAACAAGAAGAGAATCAGGGGTCAGAGGGCATAGCAAGGGGTTTTTTATTTGTTTTTGAGGATGATGGTAGCACAAATCTGTAGTTGGGTTTTCTGACTCCCATTCAACAGCTCAGAAAGGGGATTTGGGAACAGGATGTGGCACTGGATATCTTGCTACTAGCAAATTAGCTACCTTAGGGCTAACAGAATATGTCCCAGTAGGGTGCCTGTCCGTATCTATTAGAGAAGGCTTGAACGGAGTGGAGAATGCTTTATGGCAGGTTCAAGAGAATAATTACCTTTTCCCCTGTATTGTAGAGTGTGGGTAGTATTTCTGTATTTGTTTCTCTACTTGTCTGCCTTAGTAATGTTGAAATGCCCCATGTGAGACATAAAGACTATTTTTTCATTGGAAAGTAAGGGTGTGTTTCCTTCATTTCTTGTTTACCTTGAGCTAAATCTCACAATTTAGAAGGATAGTTTGTGTTGTACTCTCTTCTCGGTCTCTCACATAGATCCTACCCTGAAGGTGTTTTCCAGTGGAGTGCCTGCAATTGCACCCATTAAGCAATCAGATTTGGCCAGTCACATATGGAATTTGACTAAGGTCACGTAAACAAAAGTGGATCATTTTATCACAAATGCAAAGCAGTCCTTAAAGTTTTGGGATTCCTAGCAGCCACTGCCTATCTCCTAAGTATGTGTTATCTAGGAAACTTAAGATACAATTCTGCCTGGTATGCAGTATCCCTACCCTTTGGGAAACATCAGTTTACCCAGTGGTCAAATGATAAAACTCAAGGCCATTGTATCATTTGCAAATGATCAAGTATGCATTAGTAATAGCACTAAAGTCCTTTACCGTAATCAACTAGGAATTTTCTGCTGTGGTTTCAACATTATGCTGATAAACTGGGTTATATTTTGCCCATTAATTTATTGTTTAAGGTGGTCTGAGGATATAATGACTCATAGTATTAGTAGTTTCTCATTAATGGTATTAGGGTAATTTGACTGCTTTAAGGGGTACGAATACCAAAACTTCTGTTCAAGAATTCTAGTAAGAATTAAGTTTATGTGAAGCATAAAAGTTGAGATTTTGACAAGCTTCATAGCTACAGCAGGCTTTATTTAATGCCAGAGACATGGTATCTGGATTTCTGACAACTCCGTGATCAGCCACTCAGTGACCAAAGTTCAAGAGAATGCTGATTATGTGCTTTAAAGTGATTTTGATTATTTGTTTTTGTTTTTCGAGACAGGGTTTCTCTGTGTAACCCTGGCTGTCCTAAAAGTCACTCTGTAGACCAGGCTGACCTCGAACTCCGATAGATCCCTCTGCTCTGCCTCCCAAGTGCTGGAATCAAAGGTGTGCGCCAACACAATCTGACTTTAAGCTGGTTTTGGTTGTTTTGTTTCCAACTAAGTACAGTGAAGGGGGACAGGGTCTTTTGTTACGTACAGAAAGGGTTTTCGTTAGTCAAGTCATTTTTGACAATGCAGGGTTTGTTGTCTCATTTTGTAACCACCAGATGTCTGGGGTAAGGGAAACCCCCAAATATCTGGCTTAGTAGAACTTTGAGTTTAGTTTTAGGGCCTTGGCTTTGTGTGTAAGTGGGTGTTTTATCCCATATCTTTATATACTAAGGAAATGGAGTATCACTGCTGGTGAGCGCAGCCTCTTACCACGTTTTTTGGGCTCTAGAGTGATGAAGACCTAGCCTCCTCACAAGCATGCATGAGCACATGTACCTGTGCACACACATGCATACACCCCATACACCCAAAAGAACATTTTGTTTGTCATTTCTGTGTATTCATAAAGGTAGTATTGTAAGATTTTCTAAGTTTCCACTTTCTAATGTATTACTGAACAGTATATTGTCTGCTTAGGCAGCAAGCTATGTATATTAACCAGTGTTAACATACTACTAAGTTTTTTTCATTTGTTTGTAAGACCTTTGATCAAAAAGAGGCCTATTTTTCCTCTGGAGAAACATGTGGTGTCTCCAGTTTTCTTTTTAGTGGGTTTACTGAGTGAGACATAGAGAAAAAAACATACCGCCAAGTTTGCTACTCAAAAATATCCAACAGAAGCTGGCCTGTGGTGGTGCACACCTTTAATCCAGCACTTAGGAGGTCAAGGCAGGCATATCTCAAGAGTTGAAGTTCTGCCTGATCTACAGAGGGAGTTCCAGGACAGCCTATCTCGAAAACACCAAAAACAAGCAAGGAAACAAATTTCAATAGAAGCCTCTAAAGCAGCCAGCTGGAGTTCCCAATTGAGAGAATGCTGGGCAGAGCAATGAATCCTCTTATGTGAGTGTTTCAAGTAAAAGAACAAACACTGATATTATAGCTAAGATAAAACATTATCAAATGTGGAACACAGGAGAAGCTTGAAAATCACATCAGTTGTTCCCAGTGGTTTCTTTCCATGATTAACCTCTTTCCACTGTTGACCCCGCTACGGGATAAGCCGTCCTAGATGTTTTGCGGGCACGATGACTTCAATTAATTATGAAAGCTAGGCCTTAGCTGAGGCTTTATTCCAACTAGTTCTCATAACTTGAATTAACCTGTCTCTATTAATCTACATTCTGCCATGGGCTCAGTTCCTCTGTCTTCAGAGTATCGCTGGAGTCTCTGTAGTGCCTATCCTGCTTCCTCTGAGTCTGACTGGTGACCCACCTTTCTTCAAATCTTTATTAAACCAGTCAGAAGGCGCCTTGGCAAAGTCAAAGTGTAAACAAGTATTCCACAACAGAACACTTGGAAACAAACATGCTTGTTTGTGAAGCGTGGGGGAAGGGGAATCATAACCTCTCTTCCCTTACTTAGCCTTTCTGATCTCAAACAACACTTGGCAATTTACCAGTGTAATATCCACAACACCCGAGCTCACGCTGAACTTAGATTCTCCAATTCCAGCTTCACCAGTGCTGGGAATAAAAGCAAGTGCCATCATAGGGACGGGTTTTTGAGTGTTGTGGTGACTGGCGTTTGCAATACTTTTCCTTCTATTACTCCTGTATTAGAGTGTTTAGTTGCTTAATTGGAAGACTTAAACATCCTGATAGAAATAAATGCTTTCAAATTTTTCTTTATTTTGAGCCATGCGCATTATATATATATATGTGTGTGTGTGTGTGTGTGTATGTATGCGTTTGTGCGTATGTGTGAATGACATTTATTTTTTTTTTAATTTTATTTTATTTTACCGGTATGTTTATAGAGCACTTTGATACTGTCACAAGTCTTTTACAGCACTTCCTATTTTTTGGCCTTGAACTCCCAGGGATCCACCTGACTCTACCTCCCAAGTGCTAGATTTAAGGGAGTATGTTAACACCACCCTGTCTGGCATATACCATTTTTCCCAAGCCTTATTCTCTTTATTCAATATTTGTTGTGCTGATTAATACGTATCAACTTAGTCTCCCCCAGTCTTCACTCTCCTTGTTTGGTAAATAGCTATCGTGAGTAAAATGCTGTTTCTCATAGTAATGTTTTGGCTCCCCCACCCTTTTTTCTGATTGTTCTAGTATTACAATTAATCTTTTACCTTGAAATAATTGTTTTCAATTTAGTAGTAAAGTTCACTGTGTCTCCATTTCCTTTCCAACTTTTGTACTATATAAATTAAATCTGTATATGCGAGGCACATTAACATGGCTTTCTCGTGATTCCATTAACTAGTTATAGTTCAACTTGACGATGAGAATGATGTTTTCAGCTTTACTGGTGCATTGGAATTTCTGCCTCCTGTCCTGGAGGGCTTTCTTTCGTCCTTTTGAGATGATGTGCTGCTATTGAATTCCTCTTCCTTTTGTTTACCTATGAAGGAATGCTGCAGGTTCTCATTTTTCATGAAGGTCGATTATCCTGGGTAATTTACATATTTGTCATACTTGGTTCGTGTAGATTTTTTTTAAAATCAAACTGAGTGTTTGACCATTATCCACATTTTTTATTTCTCATTTGCACTCTCGTTTGTGACTTTCATTAAATCTGCTGCTGACTTACTGTGGTTCTTCTAAGATACCTCATGGTTGTGTGCAATACTTAACTCTTGTCAGTAGTATTGTTTACTCTTTATGTTTGATTTAAACTTGGTATTTCCCTTTCAACAACAATTTGTGGTAATGTTGAAGCTTCCCCACTTTAGCTTCTTTGAGCCATGAATACATTATATGATGCAGTCCTTTTCTATATCTAGAGTGTCTTGTTTTCATTGCTCAGGTTTGAGGCCAGGACCTTGCATATGCTAGGCACATATTGGACTTGCACACCCCTAATAGTGAAAATCAACTTGACTCTTTAACTTCTTTGAAGGGCTCATTAGAAGAATTTGGTGAAATTGGAAGGCTAGAGTCTACTAGTGTACCTAGTTTATAGGTTGAAATCAAGCTCAGAAACTTGTGTATCGGGAATATTATCTTTTTGGAGGCTGTTGCTGGGTCTTAGTGACAGAGGACTTCCCTAGCATGCGTGTTGCCCAGGACATAGCATTGAAAAAAATTGGGGGAGATTATTCAATTCAACCTACATATAGTATTTGGAGACGCTTTCTATGAAAATAACAATCAAATTTTCTATACATACTTGATTGGTGTTATGGGAGAATCTCATGTGAGATACTTTCCCTTTATATACTATAAATTTGATTGATACTATCTCACTATATTAGGTAAAATATCATTTTTGCAGACATTAATTGACGGTTCTGACAGTTAAAAAGAAGATTTAATGTTGTAAGTAACAGATTGTGGAGGAAATTTGCATTCTGACATCCTTATTGGCCTTGGATTCATGTAGGGTATTTTCTGCTCCTGAACTAAAGGTTGATTGACAAGAGGGCTACCAGAAAATGGGTTACATTGAAAGTTTTCATTTCTTTCAGTGTGGATGAGAATTAGGCTTCAGACATTATCTAGAAGTACGGAAGCTACTGTTAAGTGCAGAGAAATGACTATTAGATTTATGAAAATTTGTCAATTTCAAACTTTAAGGATAGAAAGGCTTCAATTTCAAGTAAGTTGTGAGACTGTAAACTGAACCCCCAACCCAAGTTCATTAAGTAAGAACATTGAGAACAAACTTTTTTTTTTCATTTACAAGTAACTTCATTTGGTGGGGAGGTGCTTTTTAAGAGTCTCTCTCCTTCCCTCTCTCTGCCTCTGTCTTTCTCCTCCCTCCTCCCAACCCCCCTCTCTCAGACTTCTTTGTAATGTTGAGCTCAGTATGTTTCCCTACAGTTCAACTCATTTATTAGTAGTTTTTTGGACCCCCATTCAACAATCCTGCTTTCGTTGTCCTTTGAACAGCCAGGATACTGAATTTAGTCACAGTTCCTGCCCTATGTGAGTTATCAATCTAGTGAGAGAGATCAGCGTGGACATAGAATTCGAGCAATTTGATATATATACTCTTTAGGGAAAAGACGTACAAAGTGCCCTGTGGTTCAGAGGAAAATCATTCTACTAAGCCTAAAGATGCCAGAGGTCCAGGTAACCGATGTCTTAAAGGTTGACTACTTAGTCACTGAGAGGTTTGGGATAGGATATCTAGAGGGACCCTGAGATGGATCTTAACAGAGAGGACGTTTGGTGAAAAGCATGAACATGGACTCGTGAATTGGAAAATAATTCATGACATTGGGCTATAAATGTTGCTAAGCTCAGGGCCTTGGCTTGGATTTGTATTATGAGAATTTCCAGACAGGGAGGCTTCTGAGGATTCTAGTGGTAGTGCCGAACAATTAAAGGCAACAGTTCTTGTAGTGTATGTAAAAGGGTTAGCTAGAGGCAACTTACTGGATAACTAGAGAAGACAAGCAAGAAAAATAAACCAAAACTTCATGATTGTGAAGAATGTGCACCCCTAGTCTTATCACTTTTCTCTCTCTCTTGTTCCATCGATGGATGTTTAGTTTACTTTTCATAGAATACATTAAATTATTGGAAACAGCCATACAGCAAGTAAGTGCTGATTCTCAGTGCGACACTGAAATAACAGCAGGGCTGTTAGCATTCTCATCCCATCTACTCTACTTTCACTGGCAGTTTCTCCACATTTTTTTTGTTGTTTTTTTTTTTTTTGGTTTTTCGAGACAGGGTTTCTCTGTGTAGCTTTGCGCCTTTCCTGGAACTCACTTGGTAGCCCAGGCTGGCCTCGAACTCACAGAGATCCGCCTGGCTCTGCCTCCCGAGTGCTGGGATTAAAGGCGTGCGCCACCACCGCCCGGCCATCCACATTTTTATTTGTTATTTGTTATTTTTTTTTAGACAAACATTCCCCCCCACCCCTCCGGATCTGGGGACCGAACCCAGGGCCTTGCGCTTGTTAGGCAAGCGCTCTTCCACTGAGCTAAATCCCCAACCTCAGATTTTTATTTTGTTCTAAATAAAATGTGAGGGATTTAAAAGAAATAAATAGTCTTTGTTATTGGATCCATTGCTTCGTTAGAGACTTAAAAATGTTTATTGTTTTATTTTCAAAACACAAATATATGCAATAATTGAAACTAGCCAGTGTTGACTTTCTCCTCTCAAAGCAACTTAAAGCGTGGCATGTTGTCATATGCATATAATCCCAGCACTGGAGATGCTTACATGGGAAGATGACCTTGACTTTGATGCCAGTCTGGGATTCATAACAAGACCCCAACTCAAACAAAAAAAACCCATAAACATGATTTCTACTTCAGACTTGTACTATTAATCTTTAGGATTCAAGTAATGGATTTATGACTAGAAGAAATAGTAGGTGGCTTTTTTTTTTAAGAGCACCTATATTAATCACTAACTTGGAGTACTTCAAGGGGAGATTTGGGAAAGGAAGCACTGAGCTATGCAGGAAAACAGTGAACCTAGACTTTGGGCCTTGGCATTAGCTAGCCTGTTCTTAGACTGCTTCCATAGTTACTGATGTCATTTTTTCCCAGTAGTTAAGATTGCTTAGAATGTAAGAGGTTATTGAATTTGTTCAAGTCTGTAGAAAAGGCAAGTAATAGTATACTGAAAGATATGTCAGTTACAGTTACTGTTAATAATGGTGTTTACTATGACAGGGATTAAAGAAGAGAGATAAGTACCACTATAAATGTTGAATTGTCAGTGATATTAGCAGAGAGAAAACTTCTCTTCAGTGATTCTCGTGTAAAATCACTTTAGATATTTTTTCTGCTAGTCCATGTAGAAAACTAGACGGTTTTTCCATCCTTATTCTGATTAATGATCTATTGCCTTTGCTCTTTGTTCTAAGTTAAAAACTGTTGAAGACCTGCGTTACACCTGAATGAAGACGTTTTTATAACCACAGAAAAGGCTGCTTTGGAAACCGTCACAGCAAAACTGAAACCTAATTCTAACTGTTCAGTAGCTATGTTATGTAACGCTTATACCCAACACGCCGAACATTGGTTTCAATCACGCCGTGCTTAATTTTCAGGGTTCCATGAAGATATGTGTGAAGCATATCATAGGCACTCTATAATTAACAGTTTGTTAGTTCTTAGGACACTCAACGCATGGGAGAAAGAAACAACAGCACACTTTGGTGCTCAGGACTTCATGGATCCAGCAGCAACCTGGAGTGGTGCTCACCTGAAGAAATCCTACTCGGATGGATATAATACAACCTGCTAAGTGTTCTAGCACTTAGCAGGTTGTATTATCATTGTCCGTGGCTATGGCTCTCGTCTATCAGACTAAATCCTTAAGGGCAAGGACGGTGCCTTATTCATCTTTGTATTCGCAGTGCCTAATCCAGTGCACATTGTAGGCCTCATTAAATGTTTGTTGAATGAAAAAATGAATCATCAACAGACATTAATTGGGCGCCTGCTCTGTGATCTCCATGGGCTCAGCTTGTTCCTGCCAGTTGCCTACAGCATCCGAGGTCTCTTCAACGTACTTCTGAAGCTTAATCCTGTCTTCTCATTCTTGGAATGAAGACTGTTCTGTGTAGTGTAATGATAGTGAATATACTTTATCTTGTGGACCATTTCCAATTGACTGATAATGTGTGTCTCGACTGTGTTTTATAAAAAGGATTCTATAGCAAGTTCTAATCTATGCTGAGGGTGTAAAAGGGAGAATAGAAGCCCGAATACCTTAAATGTCATATTTGATCATGTGTTTTCTATGAAACATTCAGTTTATATGCCTGTGTTTTGGAATTGCCTGCGTTTAGATGTTGTGTAGCTCCTGTTGCTACTATAATTGCTACCAATTACTCCCTAGGTTGAACCACAGTGATCATTGAGTAAAAGCTTCATCCTTGCAATATGGGGTCTGCTGTTATGGTTGGTATTCAGTTTGTCCTTTTCAACTTTGCCCAGCTTTCCCCTTAACTACATTTATTTCCCCCCCCCAATGTAAAAGTGAAGAGCCTTTATTTTCTTTTCTTTTTTATTTTATTTTTCTATTACCACCTTGATACAGTACAAATTCTTATCCTAAGAGTGAAATGTTTCACTGAGGCTTGCCCAGTGATTGAGTAAAACCAGAGCTTATTATGGGTCCCCCCTGCTAGGTAGCCCCTTAACTACATTTATAGGTAGACTTCCACAGTCCTGTCTACCAACTACTAAACTCATGTTTCCTTTTTCTTATGTTTACTTAATTTCTAGTATCCCGTAAAATATCTTTCTGTTAACGTATGTGACAAAGAGAATACATGTTAACCAACCCTTTCAGCACCCTACAGCGAGTCATATAGTCACCCTGTTCCTATGGGAGAAAATCAGCTGTGTTTGCAGACCTTCAAAGAGACATTGTAGATGGGAATGAAGGCCTGGGTGATACATATGAGCGTTAGAGAGTATATTAGTTACTTTTCTAGGGCTGTGAACAAAAATGCCATGCCCAAAAGCAAATTGAGGAGAACACGCTTTATTTTGCTTTTAGCTCCAGAAGGATATATTCCACATTGGCATGGCAGGGAATACACAGCAACAAGCAGGGAGGCATGGCTTCAGGATCAGCAGGTGGAACAAGAACAGGAAGTGAGGCAATCCAGAAAACCATCTTGCCCCTAGTGGCATCCCTCTAGAGAAATTCCACCCCTGAAAGGTCCCATAAAATTCCCAAAAGTTACCACCAACTGAGGACCAAGTGTTCAAATACATAAGCGTAGTAGGATTGCTTTTTCAAACCACCCAGGAGGGTAAAACCTACATCTCGGTAGAATATGGTAACTTTAGATGAAAGGAACTATCTGTTCACTGATGCATGCCGATCTATAAAGGAAAGACAACTTAAGAATGAAAGCTCTCCATTTCAGACATGGGCTGTGAGGAGTCAGCTATCCAGGGACACAGTTACAGAGATGGAGCTGCTGTTAGGTGAACTGCAAAGTATGGATTAGGAACACTTTCTAATGACTCCTTAGGCACAAAGGCTAGAGTAGACAGTTGACATGAGAATATAGGGCGCCTATCTGGTGATTACAGAAGAAAAAAAAACAGCTTTATTGAGCTTAATTGTTGCCTTAATTGCCTTAATTGAGGAGGGCAGCTAGCAAGAAAAGAAATGGATTAAGTGGTCCTGGAAGAATCTGAGGTCCGGAGTAGACTTTGCCTAAAAACCATAATGGAGAACATACATGGTTTTCCTTCTTGGTTTGAAGCAAGATCTATCCAGGTAGTCCTGACTGTAAACTCCTACATAGGTCCGGCAGGCCCCAAACTTGTAACAGTCCTGCTTCTACCTTCCAGCTTTGTGATTATGGTCATACATGGGCCACCGAACATGGCTCATGTTGACTTCTGGAGACATAGGACACTGGTAGAGCATTTGCCAAGAAAACATCAGACATGTAAGGTTCAATTCCCAGTATGGCCAGGGCTGATTATATACAATATTTTAAAAGTGCGTAAGTTCATTAAACAAAACAAGGTGGGTGAAATTTAACAACTTACATCACCACCAATAAAAGCCATTCTTGGATCAGGAAACATCCAATTGATTGGCTCACGTGCTCGTGTTTTCCTATTGCTGTTGGAAAATGCAGAGAAATGGCATTGAGGATTTAGAAGATAAAACACAGAAGAAAGTATTATGAATGAACACTGCAAGCAGACTTATTTGCTGTGTATCCTTGTTTCTCATGCTTTCTTCCGTCCTCAACATGGAGTCTTTTGGCCACAGAGTTTCTCTCTGTGTCCCTGGCTCTCCTGGAACAGGACCCTTCGTTTCAAGTTACACAAGGGGAAAAATAAGAAAAGAGCAACAGGGTTGCCTAAAACCTCGTGATGCTCACCAGAGAACAAGGGGCTTTTTTCAGTTACATGCCACTCCTTTCTTGTGCATTTATGAATGTGCACGATTCCTTCCCAGTGTTCCTGGTAGACTACTTACACTTTTAGACCCCCCACAGTCAAAAAATCCCCAGTCTGCAGTGCAGTATCAGAAGACAGGACTCTAAAGCTGTATTTGGGTTTTAGCAGTAAAATACCAGCTTTGCATGAAGATGGTGGGCAGTGCATTTGAAAGTAGCTGCACAGTCTGTTTATAATTCTTTTTCATTCACTAATGAAAGCTGAACTTATCATGACCGCTGCTATACTATAGAGTGCTCATTAGACCGATAACACCTCTTTTGGCAACTGCAGAAGCTATACGCAAGGATAAACTACAGCCACAGTAGCCCCTCTCTTTTTTGCTTGGTCATCAGGTACTAAAATTTGTTTGGTGGTAACTATTGAGTAAATTTTTAAAGTTTTAGTCAATCGTGGACATTAGGAGATTTGGTTAATCTCTTGTGGGTGCTTGGAATAGGACATAGATTTGCAACTTTCAAATATTGTCCCAGTGAATTCCCAGAAGACATTTAAATCAGGCTTTATGTCTTGTCTTGGATCTTGCCTCCTCTTGTTGTGTGTCCTAACAGAATTTTTGTTCTCTTCCCCCACCCTGATGTGTTTCAGGAATCTGTCTTCCTTTCCCTGTTCAGACATGGATCAGTTAAAAGCTCCATTGTGGATCAAAACTCAGTGAATGTTGGGAATGGAATCCATGTTGCTCTTTGGATGTACCAACGGGAGTGGTGCCCAAAGATAATGTAGAGGAATGTTGTAACATGCCCTGTCCAAATCACAAATGCTTAACATTTTTGGCAGATAATGGACCTTGAAAGCTTTTATTAATGGAAGGAGTAAACTTGGGATCTCTGATATTTGTGAATGAATTTAGAAGGCAACTGTTTGTTTCCCCTATGGATACAATGAGTGAAGAAAATGTACTGAATGAGCTCTCTGTCTTCTGTGGAGCACACAATGTGGCTTCATATAACCATAGCTTTTCAGTATCTTGTCACTTTTAAATGTCACTGCTTTTATGGAGATTTCTGTTTACCCGATTAGCAAACAGCATGCTTTCAATTGAGTCTGATACGATGTTAAAAGGCTCAAGGAGAGGAGATAGGACAAGAAGTGCTGAATAGCTGAGTGAAAATGTAGAATAGGGGGACCATGTCCAGGAGACAGTGTCCCGACCATCCTCAGAGCTGCCATAGCCATAAAATGTTAAGCTGGGATCTGATACTTGTCAGTCTGAAATGCGTGATGGGAGATCCAAAATATGAGGAACTGCTACTTTGGAGAAGGATTATAAAATATTTATTTCACATTAGAGGTTTAGAGGAGGTAAACTCCCAGTTTCACATTATTCTCTGTGGGTTTGAGGATTCTTCCCACTGTCAGCTCACTGGGCAAGGTGAAGTGAAAGGTTTGATGCTCTCAGGATGTTGTTGCCTTATCACCTTAGCAGGTGTTGCCCAACAATGGGTCCAGTACATGAAGGAGCAAGAAAGCCAGTGCCCAGTGGACAACAACGTGGCCTTTTGAGTGAAGATCATTGACAAAACAACTTCACTCAGTTGGACTCTAAAAATATAAAGAAGATGCATAATTTTATAACAGTATATACTTGTTACTCTATATTTTTATTCTGGTATTTTTTTCATTTCAAAATTTAAAAGTTATATTTCTATGTCATGTTCTTTGATAAAGACAATATAAAGTCTACATAGAATATGTACTTTACTGCATTTATTTCAATTTTACAGGATTACTGTACTTTTGGACCTTGCCCATTTTTTTTATAACATGTAACATTGTATATTCATTTGTTGGAAAATAAATTTCTACCAATGAATTCTTTTATTTGAAAACTTCTTGGAGCATCATAAAGGTGATTTTGACTTATTCACAATACAATTGTATAAATAACAGTACTACCAGTAGTGAATAAATGTGAATATTTCATTAAACGATTAGAATATAACTTCTCTTTTTGTAAGGTTCTACTCATTTCATAAGTATTGTGTCTTTTGAAATTTTTAATTTATAACTTCAGCAAAAGTTATTCTGGTGTTATAGATATGTATGTAGATATATGTAGTATATGATCTATAGTTCATGCAGAATATTTCTGTCACTTTAGGCAATGGGGTTTGGTTTTTTATACAGAGGATCTGTGTTGCCCTGCCTGACCTTGGATTCTGCAGTAGAATTACAAGTACATGCAGTCATACCCAGCAGTAGGAGGTCTTTTCTATTCATTCCCTTCTTACCTCTATACATGGGAACAACTGATTTATTCTATATACGTAGCTGAAGTTTTGGTTTCTAGAAGGTCAAATAAGCAGAATCCTACAATGCGTTGAATTTGGTGTCTGCTTTAACTTCCTAAATGTAAATTAGATTTACCATTGCTGTTACATGCACCATTAGAGCAATTCCTTATTGCTGAGTAGTGAGTTCATTGTGTGGGAGGACTACAATTTCGGTTGCATTCTCTAGTTGTTCAACATGTGTGATATTTCTACTTCTGATAATTATGAGCAAATTTCAGAAAGATGTGTAAGTATAAGGTTTTTGACGATTTATTTTAACTTTATGTGTATGCACATGAGTAGCAAGCCTGTGGAGGCTGGATGTCAGAGGTACCAGGAGCTGCAATTACAGGCACTTAGAAACTGCCTGACATAGGTGCTGGGAATCCAAATAAGGTGCTCTACAAGAACACCATGCCCTCCTAAACACTAAGTCATCCCTCTCGCCGTCTAGGTACAATACAAGTTTTGTGTGGTAGCAATGTTCATTTCTGTAGTAAGAATGGGGATGAGTTCAGTTTTCTTTTCAGTTTTCATGTAAGACAATTGTTGTACCTCTGCCTATGGAAATGTTAGGCATTAGGGTTTGGTCTCACAGATCCTTGAGGGCTTCAAGTATTTGAGTTTCTTATCTCTGAATTCTCTGCTCGAGTGTCCCTTGTTCCCCTTTTTAGTGGATTATTCCTTTTACTGTTGAACTTTGACATTTTTCATTCAGTCTTGATAAAAACTATGTTATGTGGAAATATGGTCTTCCTATTGGCTTGTGTTTTCAATATTGATGTTTAGTTATCAGTGGTTTTGAATCATGGATTATTGTTTGGTATGTTATATATCAGAACCTTTATGAATAGTTTCATCTGGGGGTTTTATATTTCATGTTTTATACATGTATTCTTTTTATTGTATTTTTCCTGGGGGAAGATCAAATTGTAGGCCAAATACATGCTAAGCATGTGGTCTACTACTGAGCTGCACTCTCAGTACTCTGTGTAACAGCTGTGTCCTGGAACTCACTGTGTAGACCAGGCTGGCTCTGCCTCCCGAGTGCTGGGATTAAAGACGTGCGCCACCACCGCCCATCTAATAAATAATTTTTGTAAAGAGTCACAGTTGAAGTACTAAAATATGCCTATGTAGTTATACCATTAGTTGCAAGTCTTTCTTGTCCATTGAACTGCTTTTGCACCTTTTTTTAAAAAGATTTATTTATTATGTTTACAGCATATATGACTGCAGGCTAGAAGAGGGCACCAGATCTCATTACAGATGGTTGGGAGCCACTATGTGGATGCTGGGAATTGAACTCAGGACCTCTGGAAGAGCAGCCAGTGCTCTTAACCGCTGAGCCATCTCTCCAGCCCCTGCTTTTGCACCTTTATCAGAAGGCAATTGACCATATTTTTACAGAGTATTTGGGCTGCCAAATTGATCCCATTATCCAGTACCTCTACCTCCCTAGTGCTAGAATTAATAAATTAATTCATTAATTAGTGAAAGTCAGGGCATGTGTAGTGAAGACGGCCAGAGCTGTTTCACTGAGTAACCCTGTCTTGAGAAACCAAAAAACAAACAAGCAAAGAGACATAGCCTCCCCAGCATGGAATCCAGTTTGTTCCAAGTTCTTTACACTGTAAGCATTTATAGAACATTGTTCTAATTGCAGGCCAAAGTGTTCTCTTCTTCTGAATTTTTTGAATTTGTGCTTCATACACCCTCTTGCTTAAAATATCTACAAACCAACCTGAGGTCTTCATACAACTACCACCACCACCACACACACACACACACACATCAATACACTCTTGGGAGCACATGTATATTTGCATATATCTTTGGACAGTATTTCATGTACCCCAGGCAAGCCTTGAACTTCTGGTCCTACTGCCTCCACCTCCCTATTGGTAGGATTACTGGAAGGTATCCCCATCACCAGTTTATTCAGTGCTGGGGAGCAGGCCCATGGCTGCACTCGTGCTAGGCAACTATTCAGCTACATCTCCAGCCCCTGCTGTTCTCGTTTTAAATATCATTTTGTCTGTTTGTTTGGGGTTTCATTCTTTAATTTTGTCTTTTTTTTATTTAATTTTTTTTGACATGGTATCTCTCTCAGCTGGCCTAGAACTTGCTATGTAGACTAATTTGGCCTCTAACTCCTTAGAGATCTGTCTTCTGTCTCCCAAGTACTCCAATTAATGGTATGCAGCACCATACACCAATACATTAAAGGCGTGTGCCACCATTCCCTGGCTTCTGCTGTTTACTTATGATTCAAAAGGTGGTTTGGCTTATTGACTATTTCATACACCATTGAAACCAATATGCATTCTCTCCTTTAATTGCAGTGCTTGTGTTTTCTCTAGCCTTACAGAACTTTTTCTGCTTTTATAATCATTCTTTTTTTTAAATTTTATATCTTTATTTAAGTAGATGAATGTTTTGTCTTGCATATATGTCTGTTCATCACATATGTGCCTGGACCCTGTGGAAGTCAGAAGATCCGCTAGAACAGGAGTTACATGTGTGGCTCAGAGCCTCTGTGTGGGTGATGGGAATCAAACTTGGGTCCTCTGCAAGAGCAGCCAGTGCTCTTCACAGCTGAGGAGCCATCTTTCCAGCCCCTAGAATCATTCTTTTTAATTCAATGTTTAGGTATTTATATGTATGCACTTATAATGTGTGTGTGTGTGTGTGTGAGTGTGGATGTGCAGGCACCACACTGTGCGTGTGCAAGTCAAAGGACAACTTTCCAAAATCAGTTCCCTCCCACCAAATTAGAGATCTAACTCAGGTTGTTGGGCTCACATCGGAAGCCCTTTTACAAGAGCATCATGTATCTTGCCAACCTCTTTCTACTTCTTTTATCAATTACTGCGTAATCTTCTTGAATATATGAAACTCTTTCTCAAAACGTTAATGTTTAATCTCCCACAAACCACAATTTTCATTCCTAGGTGAGAAAACAGTCTTGCTGGTCATCAGGAAAATAGTCTATTTCATTTATTTATGCTCTCACTTTTATTATTTCTTGCCTTCTACTAAAGTTAGTCTTAGTTTGTTTCTTTGTCTAATTCCATGAGGTGTACAGTTTATTTCAGCTCTCTCTCACTCTCTCTCTCTCTCTTTGGTTTTTCGAGACAGGGTTTCTCTGTGTAGCTTTGCGCCTTTCCTGGAACTCACTCTGTAGTCCAGGATGGCCTCGAACTCACAGAGATCCGCCTGCCTCTGCCTCCCGAGTGCTGGGATTAAAGGCGTGCGCCACCACCGCCCGGCCCCAGCTCTCTTTTTTGTAGTGTTTGTTGCTGTGAGTTTCCCTTTTATAATTTTATTTCTTCCATTTCAAAGGCTGTGATATGTTGTGTTTACATTTTCATGTCTCCAGATAGTTTGAACTTCCATTTTGATTTCTTCTGTGACCCACTGACACTGATTGTTCAGTAGTATGTTGTGTCATTTGCATGTAATTTTTCCAAAGTTCTTCCTGTTACAATTTCTCAGTTCATCATTTTAAGGTCTGAGGCATTATTTTAAATTATTTCATTCTTTCTAACTTTGTTGAAACTGTGGCCTTGCATGTGATCTGTTCTATAGCATTTTCTGTATGAGCTTTATAAAGTGTGTATGCTTTTAGTGATGGAACGTTCTGCATGTTTTCGGGTCATTCGCACTAGCATTTGTCTGTCAGTATTTCCTTGAAATTCATAATTTGGATCAATCTTGACTATCTGTCACTTCAGGCAGGTCCTATTTTCTGCGTTTCAACAGAGTCCAAACATATTGTGGACCTTTTGGCTACATTTTCCACTTGGGTAATAATGTTAGTGATATCACTCTGTTAATTCTAGTCCATTGTCCAGAGTGCCAGGAGCATTTTTTTAAAATATATATATATTGGATATCTGTTCAAAAGAGTATTTTGCTCCTCGTGATGCCTTATCTTGATTGTCAGCTTCACTGGATTGAGAGTCACCTAGCAGATAAACCTCAGGGTCTGTCTTTGAGGCTGATTCCAAAGTGGTTTAACTGGGGATGGAAGTTTCGTTTTGCATGAGTTGAGAGTCTGGGTTGGAGTAACAAGGAGAAAGTATGCTGAGAGCCAGAATTCATCTCTCTCTGCTTCCTAACATTGGGCACAATGTGATCAGCCATCCTATACCCCTGTCATCATGACTTCCCCAGAGACTCTTCTGTCCTTATGGCTCTGATGTTGCTCCTTGTCAATTATTTGGTTGCAGTATAGAGGAAAGTTTACTCACATGCTCCCTGATATCATAAACTATTAGTGTGTCCGTGTCATGCTCTAACTTGGAGGTCAGGCTGAATTTGTTTTTTGTCGTTGTTTTAAGACAGGTTTCTCTGTAGACCACGCTGGCCTCGAACTTCCTCTGCTTCCCAAGTGCTAGGATTGAAGGCATGTGCCGCCACACCCATCAAGTTATTTAATGCCGTACACGCACAGATACCTAAGAGGATGCACTAGGCCATAGTGAACATATGTCCCCTATCCTAGGGCTTCCTTATAACCATCAGCTAGAGAGGCAGTGCCACTAACTGCCTTTCTATAGGCCACACATAGTGTAACCTTCTTCTCAGTTGCTGTAATGATTTTTTTAAGAGCAGTTTTTCCAGTTTTTGTTTTTGGTTTTTGTTTTTTTGTTTTTTTGTTTTGAGAC